CAAGTTTAACCCTGCCACAGGCCTGGCAAGCTCGGCAGGCCCCACTTCTCCCCCAGCCTGAAGTCTCCCACCCAAGCTCCACCCTCCTTCGCTGGAAGCCTCAGGCGCCCCTCCCACTCCCCCACCTTGCCTGTCCCAGACCACTCAGCTCCTGCCTGGTCTCCTAGCTTCCAGCGGAGTCTGCACTGCCAGCCCTTCCCTCCACTGCCCTGGCATCCAGCCCCGCTCACCTCCTGTCACCAGCGGGGCCCCCTTCCAGGCTTGAGCAGGCTGCCCACTTCCGGTCTGCCAGAAACAGTGCTCTCTCCAGGCATCCCAGGAAGGCTCCTCAGAGAAGCCTCTTTTGACCACGGTCTCCTCAGGGTCACAGACCCCAAATCAGCACTCTAGGCCTCAGAAGAAACTTTGTGCTCCTCCAGGTGCCTGTCCTGCGCAGGCCCCAGGGGGCCAGGGCCAGATGTCTGTGCAATTCTCTTCCCCAGCTCACCGACCCTCTCCAGGGAACCTCTGAACTCACTGGCCCTCCACACTGTCCGTCTTCACTGACCTTTAAAACATTCGTTTACAACGATATGGTATGTTTTTTAATTAAAGAGGTTTTAAATCATATGCATTTGCATGGGTTTCATATTTGCATCTCTTAGGTAGCATAGTTTCAAAATTATGAAATCAAAGTTGGCTCCATTGGGATATTGGTAATATGCGAGGGAATTGGGCAATAAGTAAGGGGTTTGTTTGTTGTTGTTGTTTTTTTTGCTATTCTTTTTATTTTTTATTGTTTTATTTATTTTTGTTTATTTTTTTTTTACAGAGAGGAAGGAAGAGGGATAGAGATTTAGAAACATCAATGCGTGAGAAACATTGATCAGCTGCTTCCTGCACACCCGCTACTGGGAATGTCCCCACAACCAAGGTACATGCCCTTGACCAGAATCGAACCTGGGACCCTTGAGTCCACCGACACTCTATCCACTGAGCCAAACCAGTTAGGGCAATAAGTACGTATTTTGAGAGCAGTGGGAGCCAGGTTTCTCACTATCGCAGAAGGGAGGCGTGAACATGGAAAGGGAGAAGACAGGATAAGCCCTGTGACATTGGACTGTAATTAGAGATGCTGGTATGAGTCAGGGTTTCTACTATCCTCAGCATAGACAGAATAGATACATGTGTATAGTTACTCATGTGTATGTGTGTATAAAAATATATCTCTCAGTTCTGTCCACAGAGACGAGCAGGAATAACATTCGGATAGCAATGAACACACCCCGCTCCCAGCTCCTGCTTTGCAAACATTCTTCTGCACTAAGATGGCTAATTTCACGCTGGTACACGAGGAGCCTAGAGCTTCCTATAGGAGAAATTAAGAGTGTACTCAAGGATGATGGGATATGTCAAAGGACACAGAGTAGCCAGTTTGAAGGGACTCCCACTGTCCAAACCTGGGGCAGTTTTAGGATCAAAATAAAGAATGATTGGTAATAGGTTATAACCCACTGAATAAAATGGGAACCAAGTTAATATGGTATATTAAAAAATGGAAAAGGAAAAGTTTCTCCTTTCAGTAGAATGCCTACTTATCAGTGCAGAAAAGACGATGGAGAATTGCACCGGGCAACATCACAGAATCAATTGATGTAGGCAAGAACCATTCATGAATGCTAAGACCAGTGGGTGAAATTATATAAACAGATGGTATCTGAAGAAACCCAAAACACTAATTTGAAAGCATATATGCACCCTATTGCAGTGTTATTTACCACAGCCAAGATTTGAAGCAGCCCAAGTGCCCATCAGTAGATGGGTGGGTAAAAAGCTGTGGTACATTTACAGAGTGGAATACTACTCTGCCATAAGAAGAAAGAACTCTTACCCTTTGGGCAGTATAGATGGACCTGGAGAGCATTATGCTACGTGAAATAAGCCAGTCAGAGAGAGTTACGTACCATATGACTTCACTCATATGTGGAATCTGATGAACAAAATAAAATCACACACAAAATAAAAACATGTTCATAGAGAACAGACTGACAGCTGTCAGAGGGCTGGGTGAAAAAGGTAAAGGAATTAAAAAAACTCACACACAACCCAAACTCATAGGGACAGACAACAACAGCATGGTGATTACCAGAGGAAAAAGGGGGAGAAAGGAGGTGGAAGAGGGTATAAGGGGAATAAATGATGATGAAAGGATACTGGACTTGACTTTTCTTGAACACGTGATGAACACAGAATACAATATACAGATGATGTTTTATAGAATTGTACTTCTGAAACCTATGTGATTTTATTAATCAACGTCATCCCACTACATTCAATAAAAAGAATAGGATGTATACACAGTCTCAAAGCTTCACCCATAAAAATGATTTATTCATCAATGAAAAGGCATAAAGTACTAATTAACTTTGCAGTGGAGAAACCTGGCAGACCTCATTTTAACTGGTCAAAGGGAATATGACCAATATTCAATAGCACGTGCCCTATGGGATGCATGGACATGGACATGGCACTTCTGTGATGTTCCTGCCAAAGTGCATCACCTGGATCTTCATGGGGACACATCAGAGAAACTCAGGCAGAGGAACATTCTACACACTAAGTGGCATGTACTCTTCAAAATGACTAAAGTCGTGCAAGGAAAGACTGAAGAGCCAGACTGAATGCCAAGTGTGACCCTGGGTAGGAAAAGGATGTGGCTGGGAAGGACAGCAGGTGCATGGGGTCTGTGCCTTAATGGGTTTGGGTCGGTGGTAATCTCCTGATTTTGGTGGGTGTTTTCAGGCTATCCAGGCAAGTGATCTTGTTGGTTTTAGGAAATTCACAAGATATTGAAGAGTATTAAAGAGAAACCTTGTCTGCATCCTACACTCAAATGGCTTAGAAAGAGAGACAACGTGAAGGCAAATGTTAAAATCAGGAATCTCAATGAAGAGTATTTGGGAATGTTTTGTCTTATTTTATTTTACAAATGCATGGAGAAATAATTCACATACCATACAATTCACCCACTTAAAGCATATAATTCAATGGTTTTAATATATCCGTATGCCCAACCATCAATACAGCCAATTTTAGAATATTTTCATCACCCCTTTAAAAACCTGTAATAACTAGCAGTCACCATTTCTTCATCTTTACCTTATTCTTGCAGTTTCAAATATTTTGAAAATATTTCAACTAAAAGTTTATGAAATTACAATATCTGTGCTATTTTTTAAAAATATATTTTATTGATTTTTTACAGAGAGGAAGGGAGAGGGATAGATAGCTAGAAACATCGATGAGAGAGAATCATTGACCAGCCGCCTCCTGCACACTGGGGGTGTGCCCGCAACCAAGGTACATGCCCTTGACCGGAATCGAACCTGGGACCCTTCAGTCCGCAGACAGACGCTCTATCCACTGAGCCAAACCGGTTTCGGCTATCTGTGCTATTATGACCAATAAACTACTGAGTGAATGCTAGGATTTATTTTATTTATATTTTTTATTTTTTTTTGCTATTCATTTGTTCACAGCCAAGGTACTATGTTCAGAAGTAATTTTTTCCTTCTGATAATTATATTACTATATTCTTACAGAGGTTCTTTTAAGTTGGTTTTCAGTTTTGGTGTTCTCATTTTTTGCTCTTTTTAATTATATTTTTGATGATGTAAAATATTTACATGATTCAAAGATTAAAACTGTAGGACTTCCCTCCTCCCAATTCTACCTCTCCATTCCCACTGGTTCAATCATTTGTAATCATTTCTAGTTTGTCCTTCTGTAGATTATTTTTTTTTTAATATTTTATTGATTTTTCACAGAGAGGAAGGGAGAGAGATAGAGAGCTAGAAACGTCAATGAGAGAGAAACATCGACCAGCTGCCTCTTGCACACCCTCTACCGGGGATGTGCCTGCAACCAATGTACATGCCCTTGACCGGAATCGAACCTGGGACCTTTCAGTCCGCAGACCGACGCTCTACCACTGAGCCAAACCGGTTTCGGCTGTAGATTATTTTTTAAATGCATTTTTATTTATTTCAGAGAGGAAGGGAGAGGGAGATAGAAGTATCAATGATGAGAGAGAATTGATCGGCTGCCTCCTGCATGCCCCACACTGAGGAGTGAACCCAAAACCCAGGCATGTGACCTCCTGGTCCGTAGATCAACCTGCAACCTCTGAGCCACCCCAGCCGGGCATCTTTTCCTTTTTTATTCTTTTTATTCCTGTGAACAGTGACCAGACCACAGGGCAGGGAGTTTTGCTGATTTTAGCTGCTTTATTCATAGCCTAGAACAATGATTTTCAACCTTTTTCACCTCATGGCACATGTAAATTAATTACTAAAATCCCACAGCACATATATATCTGTGGGATTTTACAAAAAGAAGGTATAATTTTGACTTGTTCACATTGGCTGGCTATTGTTGTGTTGGCTGTTGTCATTTTTAAATTTGACAACTTAAGGAAAAAAAGGTTAGTGCCCCTGACTACATAGGTATTGCATGTGTTAAAAACTGTTGCAGCACACACTGGCTGAAAATTGCTGGTCTAGAAAAATGCTTGGGTGTCTGAGATGCCAATAAATGTTTGTTTATGGAAGAAGCAATGGGCCAGCTGATGAATGAAAGGGTGGGGAATGAATGAGTGAATGAGTGAGTGAATGGATGTATGAGCACCTTCATTGCTCCTTTCTTCCTGGTTCTTAAGTGAGGAAATAGTAAATATTCCAGAGGAAGAAGAAAGGGTAAGGAACATGGTGGGCCCGGGGGAGAGACATAGGGGCCAGGTGGGCTCTGGTACTGACCCAGAAATAAATACTGAGGTGCCCGTTCTGCCACCTGCAGGAATCTCAAGTGCCCGTCATTCTTAGGGTGCTGACCTTTGCCCTCTGAGAGACCCTGGGGTCAGTGCAAAGGGTTCCTGCAGCCCCCCAGGCGACCCTGAGGTCCACCCTCCCCCTCTCCCGCCCTCCGCCCGCAGGGGCCCCAGTGACCACAGAGGCGAGGAGTAGGTTCATTCCTTTATTGATGGGTCACCCAGAAAGAGGGGGGTGAGGGAGGCCCCATAGAGCAGTGGAGGGGTCGCAGCCTGTCTTCTGGGGTCCCTCAGCTGCGCTCAGCGGTATTTCTCGGTCAGGACGGTGGACACCACGGACAGGAACTTGTCCCAGGCGGCGTGGGCGTCGGCCGTGAAGTCCTCGGGGAAGTGTGAGGCCATGGTGACCAGCAGACAGTGGGACAGGAGCTGGGGGCGGGAGGGGCTCAGCACAGGGCCGGAGGGGGCTGGGGTTCTTGGGGTGGTGAGAGGGAATGGAGCCCATCGCCTGTCTCACAGAGACCCTGCCTTCCTCTCCTCCCCACCTGGCCTCTGTCCTGAAAAGCCAGGATCCCTGTCCCGGGCTCACCTTGAAGTTGACCGGGTCCACGCGCAGGATGTAGGCATGCAGCTCGCTCAGCTTGGACAGGGCGCTGTCGATGTTGTCCATGTTCTTGACCGCGTCGCCCACTGCGGCCACCACCTTGGAGCCGTGGGAGCGCAGGTGGGCAGAGCCAGGGTGCAGGTCGAAGTGTGGGAAGTAGGTCTTGGTCTGGGGGTAACTGGTGAAGAGCCTGCGGGGGTGGGAGCAGAACAGGACTCTGGTGAGGCCAGGAGGACCCTTGCCTTGGGTGCAAAACTGCACTATCTCACCCTCACCGCCCCATCTCTGTCTTTCTCATTCATTCGTTCGTTCATTCATTCATTCATTCATTCAGCAGATGTTTGTGGAGACCTGTGTGCTGGGTCCCATTGAGAAACACAGTCCTCAGTTCCCTCCCCATCCACTGCCTCTACTCAAACTCACTGATCCTTCTCACTTTCTCCTCCCCACTGTTTCCTCTCCCCATCCCCTGTCCTCACTCACCCCGCATTGTCACCTGGCCCCGTCCCGGCCTGTCTGGCACTCACCTCTCCAGGGTCTCGGTACCGATGGCCTCTGCCTGTCCAGAGATCTTGCCCCACATGGACATGATGATGGTCCTCTCGGCCCTGGTCAGAGACATGGTGGTGTTGGAGCCGGAGCTGGGCAGGTTCGGGACTGGCCTTTGTGGTGCTCAGCCCCAGGGCCCACTTATATGCACAGAGTCCACGTGGGGGCCAGGCTGCGGGGGCTTAGGGTGGGGACTCTTATCAGATCCAGCGACAATGGGCAGTCAGAGCCTGGTGGGACAGGAGGGGTGAGGGGTTATCACCCTTGCCATCCTTCCTGGGTTTTAGAGGGGGCGTTGGCCGCAGCCTGACCAGAATCCAGCAGAGATAGGGGCCCAGCCAGCCCAGATGGTCATGCCTGCATCTGCAGCCCAGCTCTGCATTGGCCTTGTCCATTTCAGACTTAAAAAATGAGGGAGACCGCAGGAGCAGGGCCCAAAACACACCTTCCTGGGGCTGGCACATGCCCCGTGCTGCTTGCATGGCTCCTGGGTAGGATCCTGGGGCTAGATCACCCTGGTCACGTGCCAGCTCCCTCCCTCCCACAGCTCTCTCTGTGATTCTTGGGTTTTCTGAGGAAGCAATGGTTTTACCCTCCCAGCACCGAGGAGAGATGTACTGACTGGGTGTGTCTCCTGAAAAGCTAGTTCAATAAAAAAGAATTATCCTAATATCATCTGTTATTAGGGACTGCACTATTTTTACTGACTTCAGAGAGGAAGGGAGAAGGATAGAGAGGTATAAACATCCATGATGAGAGAGAATCATTGATTGGCTGGTTCATTCATGCCCCACACTGGGCATCAAGCCTGGAACCTGGGCACGGGCTCTGACCAGGAATCAAATCATGACCTCTTTGTTCATAGGTCAGTGCTCAACCACTGAGCCACATTCAGCCACGCTGGCTGGGCAGGATTGCAATATTGCTCACCATGTCGTCATTTTAACAGTGAGGCAAATAATTCCTTTTAATGTTCACATACAACGAAATTGACTTTTTTAGTGTACTGCTCTGTGAATTTTGACATGTGTGTAGAGTTGTGTAACTGCCACCAAAATCACTGGCTCCATCACTCAAAAAAACTCCACCTGCCACCCCTTTGCACTCTCACTCTGCATATAAGGTCTTTGTCAGTTTGATGTGTCATATCTCCCCCAAGTCTGTGGTTTGCCTCCACTGTCCTAATGCTGGTTTTGTTGAATGGATGTTTATAATTTTTAAAATTGATTTTAGGTAGGAGAGGAAGGGAGAGAAACATCAATTTGCTGTCCCTCCTATTTACGCATTCACTAGTTGATTCTTTTTTTTTAAAAATATATATATTTTTATTGATTCCAGAGAGAAAGGGATTAGGAGAGACAGAAAAAAATAGAAACATCAATGATGAGAGAGAATCATTGACTGGCTGCCTCCTGAACATCCCCTACTGGGGATCAAGCCCCAACCTGGACTTGTGCCCTGACAGGGAATTGAACCATGACCTCCTAGTTCATAGATCGCCGATCAACCACTGAGCCACGCTAAGCAGGCAGGTTTTATCTCATTAAAAAAAACAACAAAAAACAAACAAACAAACAAAAAACTTGTCAAATATAGACAGTTGTAGAGAACTGTCTATATTACCATTCTAAGAACTCTACTGTTTGGCATCTGATTGGGTGAGAGTCCACCTTGGACTAATTTTGTGGGTTGAGGTAAGGTCTGCTGCCTGGTGTTAGCTGACATTTATCAAGTGCCTTCTAAGACCTGGGCATGGCACCAAACACTCTTCATGTTGGGTGCTTGACCCTTAACGTCTCTGGGAGAGAAGTTTTGTGTTGTTACCATAGCATGTTTCAAGCTCAGGAAATGGAGGCTGGGAAAGTTATGAAACATTGGAGGGAACCACTCCTGATGGGAGAGGAGACCTAGGTTTGCTGCGGGCCAGGCTGCTGGCCCTTTGGGGGTTGGGTAAGTCTGTTCTGTCTCTGGGCCTTGGTTTCCTGTGACACAGGAGCCCAAGTCTGTGCTCCAGGACACTGAGACCTACTGGTCTCTGAACAGAATTCAAAGCCCCAGAACTTTTGTAGCTGAAGCTCAGAGAGGTCCTCAGTGGAGACCCTCCCCTGAAAGGACCCCTGGGTGACTCTGGGCAGGCTAATGAACATTGTGAGTCCCGGTTTCACTGTGTTAACTTCTGAGGTGGGTGTGTAGAACAGCCTCCGCCTCACTGTTAGGAGAGATAATGGCACTGTGAATTCAAGGTGATTGTAGTTGCTGTTGTTGGTGAGTGATCTCTCCTGGACAGGAACACTGACCAGAGAAGGTGGAGGTGTGGGAGTGGGTCCAAGATAGGGTCTCTGAGCCCCGCCCAGTCCTCGGACAGAGGGTGGGAGCTCTATCAGGCCCGGACTGAGTGGCAGGACTGATAAGGCCTGGCCCTGCCTAGGGGACCTAAGCTGGGAGGAAAGGTCAGGAGTTTAGGATTTCAAGAATCAGTTTCCCTTCAAAAAAGGTAGGTTACAAAAGAGTTACTTAAATTTAAAGTGAGGATTTAGAGTCGCAGGGTGTTCCCAGCGAAGGGTTTGAGGACGTACCTTGTAGTGAGAGGAGGCTGGCCCTGGGTACACGGTTGTCCAGGGGACAGTGTGAGGGCCTCAGGCTAAAACTGCACCTACAGGGGTTGTGAGGAGAAAGAGGACCTAATATGTGGTGACAGGAGAAGATCTGACTTTGGGTGATGGACACACAGTACAATATATAGATCTTGCAACATATAAATCTACACCTGAAGTTCATATGATCATGTCAACCAATGTCATCCTAATCAATTTAATAAAAGTTTTTTTAATATATTTTATTGATTTTTTTACAGAGAGGAAGAGAGAGGGATAGAGTTAGAAACGTCAATGAGAGAGAAACATCCATCAGCTGCCTCTTTGCGCCCACAACCAAGGTACATGCCCTTGACCGGAATCGAACCCGGGACCTTTCAGCCCGCAGACCAATGCTCTACCGCTGAGCCAAACCGGTTTCGGCAAATTTAATAAAAGTTTTTTAAGAAAAGACCACACGTATAGACTATCTGCTCCCAGCCCTGTTACTAGTGGGGAAGCTGAGGCCGATAGCATGGCCAGTCCACCTCAGAGTCCTTCTGGCCGCCAGCACCAGCCTGGACTGGAGCTCTGGTTTCTGTAACAGCCTAATCAAGTCAACAAATGGAGACACTGAGATCCTGCTGGTGAGGGTGGCGTGGGAGTCAGACCCCTGCTTGCTCAGTGCAGCCTGGACATTCCTGCACCTGAGCCCTGTGAGGGCAGCCTGGGAAGCAATGTACCCGAGCCCCTGTGTGCTGGCATCCTGGTGACCTTTCACCTCTCATGGACGCCAATGTGCGCTACGATGAAAAGATATTAAGCATTTAGCCCGAAAAACAAACAGTGAATGCTATTGTGAAAGTAGCTAGCAGTAAGTGGGCCCAGAGGGGTAATTGGGGAATGGTGGATTCCTCCAATTCTGGGCCTTCTCCCAGCTCAGAGACAGCCTCCCCGAGTCCCTGGACACGAGCCCTGCTCCTCCAGGTTTGGGGGCCATGGGACTGTTTGGTGGGCTAGCAGCATGGTCCAGGGAAGCTGGAGGAAGGAGGCTGGAGCTAGGTCCTTATGTCTAAGCATGTGCAGGTTCCCGGTGCCCTTGTGGAGGTACCTCCAGTACCACAGCTGGCCATCTCTGCAGATGGTGGGCTCTCCCTTTCCCATTGGGCCAGCTCCCCCAGCCTCACCTCTTCCTTCTGTGCCCTCGTTTCCATTCCAGAAACACTTCTGGGAACTGTGTGAGAACTCAGAAAACTACTGATTATACATAATGTCAAAACAGACTGGGAAAAAGGCTTGCAGGATCTGTAACATCAAGATAACATGTCCAAACCATCAAAGAAGAATAAACATCCCATAAAGAAAACAAGAGGGCAATTCGGAGATACTGGCAAATAATCAAGTGACACAGTTCTCCACCTCAGTAATAATTTTTAAAAATGTAGCAACACTTGGCCAGCTTGGCTCAGTGGTTGAGCATTGATCTATGAACCAGGAGGTCACAGTTCAATTTCTGGTCAGGGCACATGCCCAGGTAGCGGACTCGATCCCCATTGTGGGGCATGCAGGAGGCAGCCGATCAATGATTCTCTCTCATCAGTGATGTTTCTATCTCTCTATTCCTTCTTCTCTAAATCAATAAACATATATTTTTAAAATTAAATGCAGCAAAAAAAGAGTCACACCATTTTCCTTTTTGGGAAATTTTTGGGGAAAATTAAGTCAATGCTATGCATCCTGTGTAGGGCAATGGCTTGGTTGGTAATGTCTGAGGCATTTCAAATGTCTGTACTCTTCATCCTGGGAGATTCAAGCCATAAACCTGCCTTGCAAAATACATGTTTGTGTCAGCTTTAATGCAAGAGGTTACCTCAGCCATCCCTCGGTCCAGTGATTACCCCTCATGCATTTGAAATGCTTGAGAAAGATTTGGAAACAGCCACAGTAGACGGTTAACCACAGTCACTTCTGGGGAAGACTTGGATGGGGTGCATGGGGTGATTTTAAAAACAGCTGTATTGAGATATAATTTGCGCCCATTTGAAGTGTGCGATTCAATTTCTTTGTTTTTGTCACATCTACTGCAAGGATGAAGACCATTCTCAGCAATCAGACTGCTGACATCCCAGAAAATGTGGGCGTCCCCCTGCAGGGACCACAGTGACTGTGCAGGGCCTCACAGGCGCCTGCGGAGGGACTCTGGTCACATCCGTATAGAGCTCAGTCTCCCCGGAAAGAAAAGGAAGCGGCTCCGAGTTGACAAAAGTGGGGAAATGGAAGGGCACTGGCTACCGTTCACACCACCTGCGGTCACGTTCAGAACAGGATCAAGGTGTTACCCTGAGCTTCCCTTACAGAATGAGCTCCGCGTCCTCTCCCTTCCCCATCAGTGCCGTTTTCAGGAGAATGGGTCTCCTGTTGAAATCAGAGATTTCTTGGGTGAAAAATACAAGGTTCGGATGAGGTCAGGCATTGCTTGTTAGTATCTCAAACCCAGATAGATGAGTTGATTATTTTTTTAAGATGAATTAATTTTTGAAGGAAATGACATTGAACTTGTATCAAATTCAGCTGCTTTGATTCAGCAAGCCACAAAGTTAAAAACAAGAACATTAGAAAAATTTTAGATGCCATCTATGTTTCTGAAAAAGGAACAGTTCAGTAGGCTGATGAGTGAGATCTAAGTTGTCCAGCTACAGGAACAGCAAGATGCCAGATGATATTTTTGTTAATACTCATCGAGGATATTTTTTCTATTGATTTTTAGTGAGAGTGGAAGGGTGAGAGGGAGAGAAAGTGGGAGAGAGAGAGAAACATCAAAGTGAGACACATCGATTGGCTGTCTCCCCCATGAGCCCTGACCTGGAATGGGGATCAAACCTGCAACCAATTTACATATGTGTACTTAACTGGGAATCCCACCTGAGACCATTTGGTGCACGGGCCAATGCTCTAACCACTGAGCACACCAGCTAGGACTTACTTGTGATATTTTAAAATAAAATAAAAGCCATGTATTGATTTGGAGAGATATAAAGTGTGCAATTGGTTTTGATTTACATTATCCTAATGAGAATGATGTTGAGTATCTTTTCAGGTGCTTATTGGCATTTTGTCTATATTCTTTGGAGAAATAACAATTCAATCCCTTTTCATATTTTCAATTGGTTAGTTGTCTTTTTATTGTTTATTTGTAAGAGTTTTAAAAATTAACCTGGATACAATTCCCTCATCAGATACCTGAATTATAAATATTTTTCCTATTCTGTTCTTTTTACTTTCTTGGTGGTGTCTTTTGAAGCACAAAAATGTTTAATTTGATTAAATCTAATTAAGCTTTTCTGTAGTTGCTTGTGCATTTGGTGTCATATCTAAGTAATCATTGCCCAGTCCAAGATCACGAATATTTACCCATATTTTCTGTAAGAAGTTTATAGTGTTAGCTCTTACGTTTAGGTCTGTGATCCATCGACATGATTTTTTAAAACCTTTTTTTAGTTTAGTACTTTATATTTGTAAATTTAACCATTCTGCCCAAAGCAAGTATTACTTTTATAATGAGAAATAAATCATTCGGGGACAGCGGTCAGTTTCCTATTCACACAGGTGGGCGGGTCCCTTCGCCGCAGCAGGAAGGAGGTCGGTCCACGCGCATGCGTAGCTTCCCAGAGAGAGACCACGCCTGCGCACACGGCGGCTCGCGCCTGCGCAAACCTCCCCGGCCCGCGGGCTGGTGCCCAGCGCGCTTTCGCCTGGCCCTGGGGTGGAAAGCTCACGATCCTCGCGGGGCGCGCTCCGTGGCGCTGGCTCCGTTGCTCTGGCCCTCCTCTGGGCTTCCGTGGCTTTGGTGGCGTCCTTGTCAGGTCCCCTTCCGCCGCCCCTGCGCGTCTTCCTCAGGCTCCATCCCACCTCCCGGTTCCGGCCTTCCCAGAGCTTCCCAACACCGCCCGTCCGCCCCGCCCTCGGCAATTTTCCTAAGCCTCCCCCCAGCCCCCCCCCGCCCTCGGGGTAGAATGGGGGACAACACCAGCCCCATCAGCGTGATTCTGGTGAGCTCGGGGAGCAGGGGCAATAAACTGCTGTTCAGGTACCCCTTCCAGAGAAGCCAGGAGCACCCGGCATCCCAGACAAGTAAGTGAGCGCCGGGAGCGGGCCTGGCGCTCCGGGCCCCGCCTGGCCGCTGGGCCAGAGCGACCAGCGGCAGGGCCCCTTCCCTCTCCGCCTCGCACGTTAACATTCAAGTCCTGTACTTTTTTCCTTTTCCTGATGATACAGTCACTGCCTGTTCTTTATAGAGCACAGTTTGGAAAGTGCAGACAAATAAAAAGAAACTGGAGGGAAAAAAATCATCATAACTCAATAGCCAAAAGCTTCTGTTGCTAACATTTCATCCAGGTCTGCAGCCTTTTCAAAAAATATGTGAGCACTGCATGTGTTAACCTAACAACAAAAGGCCAGGATGAGAGGCAACAAGCATTTCCTTGAGGTCGATAAGAATAGCTATTTGGGATGCTCCAAATAGTGTTCTGATTGAGAGACAAAGGCTTTGGGTAGTTATGAAAAAAGGAAAGGAAACATACCAATAGGAGGAAGGCATTTATTTCTTTTTATTTCTATTGGTCAGGTAACATAGTAAAGTTAATTCTGAGCAGTTTTTAATTTTCAGTCTGATAGTCTTAAGTCAGGTATAGTATTTGCATATATATATTTTGTTAATCCCCACCTGAGGATACTTTTTTCATTGATTTTTAGAGGGAGTGGGAAGGAGAGAGAGTGATTTTTAGAGGGAGTGGAAGGGAGAGAGAGAGACAGAGAAACATTGATGTGAGAGAAACACATCAATCGGTTGCCTCCTTCATGTACCCCTCCTGACCAGAGCCCCACGGACTTGAAGCCAAGGTGCGCACCCTTGATTGGAATCAAACCCGGGGCCCTGACCTCTATCCACTGAGCCAAACAGGCTAGGGCTGCTTTCTTGTATCTTTATAGTCCGTTCTTTGGGGCACAGGTTGCTTAAGCCCAGTCCAGAGGTTATTTTGCCCAGTTTTAACATTTCAAAGATGTGAGGGATAAGACATTTCAGGCAATTTTGGGATGGCAGCTCCAGCTTCATTTTAAAGTAGTTGTGTTTATTGTTGTTGTTTTTATATAAATGTATTCAGTTTGGAAATAACAGGAAATTACAGATCCACCTGAAGTTTTTTTTTTAACTACTGGTACCTAACTAACACCAGGTCTGCTCCCCCATTACAGGGATAACTGCTTCCGTTTTAGTCATTGTCCTTCCTGTACATAGACACCTACTATGTATCCATAGGAAAATAGTGTATTATTGGGGATTTTTCCCCCTTCACATAAGTGTATTGATCTGCAGTGGCTCTTCCATTGAACAGCCTTGGGGTTCTTTATGACCTAATAAACAGAGGTCGCCCCGCTCTTAGGTGTAGCATGCAGCTGCTGTGGGTGGACATGTAGGTTACGTGTAGCTGTTCATTATCAGGAATGCTCAGTTTGTAATTGATATTCTGTTTTAACATTTGTTAATACGGTACAAAGGGATTTAGGTTATGAAAAGAATGTTCTTTCCCCACCATTGATTCACACACACACCCAGTCACCCATTTCCCCTTGTAGGGGCAGCTGCTGTTACCATTTTCCTGTGTAAATACCAGCATATGCATATATTATTTTACTTTTTCTAAGCACAAGTGAAAGGACACACTGCCCTGTGTGTGTGGTTTTCATTTTCCATCTTGATATGGTTTCAGAATTAGGATAGAGTCATGGGATGAGCACACTGATGTATTTATCCAGGCCTCTGTTGGTGTTGGTGGATTGTTTCCAGTCTTTTGCTGCTGTAACCAATGTGAATGTCCTTCCTGTGTGTATTATTTTGCTGGATATAGGATTAATTCCCAGAAGTAGGATGGTTAAATCTAAGGGATAATGAGCATATTTATTTTTTTCCTTTTCTTTTTTTATTTGTCAATTACAGTTGATATTCAGTATTATTTTATATTAGTTTCAGGTATACAGCATAATGGTTAGATATTTGTATCATTTATTAACTGAGCAATTGATAAGTCTAATACTCTCCTAGCACCATGCATTGTAATTACAGTATTTTTATTATTATTATTCAATTTTTTATTGATTTCAGAGAGGAAGGGACAGGGAGAGAGAAATAGAAACATCAATGATGAGAGAAGTCATTGATTGGCTGCCTCCTGCACATCTCCACTGGGGACTGAGCCCGAAAACCAGGCCTGTGCACTGACAAGGAATCAAACCGTGACCTCCTGGTTCATAGGTTGATGCTCCACCACTGAGCCATGTAGGGCAGGTTGAACTTTTTTGTTTTGTTAATCCTCGTCAGAGGATATTTTCCCCATTGCTTTTCAGAGAGAGTGGAAGGAAGTTGGGGAGGGGGGAAGGGTGGGTAGAGAGAAAGAGAGAGAGAGAAACATCATTTGCCTCCTGCATGTATCCACGACCCAGGGACTTGCAGCCAAGGTACGTGCCTTGATTGGAATTGAACCCGGGACCCTTCAGTGTGGGGGCTGATGCTCTATCTACTGAGAGAGAGAGAGAGAGAGAGAGAGAGAGAGAGAGAGAGAGAGAGAGAGAGGGAGAGGGAGGAGGGGGGGAGGGAAACATTGACTGGTTTCCTCCCGCAGGTCATGGGGAGTGAACTCACAATCAAGGTACATGCCCTTGACTGGAAATAGAACCTGTGACCCTTTGGTGCGAGGGTCAACACTAACCACTTAGCAACATTAGCTAGGGCAATATATGGACTTAAAATTTTTTTTTCTTCAGCTAAGACAGAAGAGTTGATAAATTGTACATGTTAAATCCAGCCACACCTGTGGACAGCACCAGTCCAGAATGTCACAGGTCTAGGGCAAAGATCCAGAAGGGACTGTTTTTATAAGAGCAGGGTGGGTCTCTCAAAAGGCGGCCACGGTGTTCAGACGGCATGTATGTATGTTCCAGATCCCACTGAGAAGTGTTAGACAGCAGGCATGCAGCCTACAGCTTGTATCGGTGTGCCTGCCTCTGGCTGCCTTATCTCTGCTCCGGTGGCTTTCACCGTGTGCCTGGACCTCTGCCTAATCTTTCTTTTTTTGCGCTTTAGCCCGCACACTCCCTTCTTCCTCCACTTGGCTGTCATGGCACAGAGCTTTCTAGGAAGATGGCGCTAAAGCCGAGAGCTGAAAATCCTTTTGCCTATGCTTTTTACAAACGAGTTGACATCCTATAGTGAGAGGATATATGTGGATATATGTGTATCTGTGTGTAATATATTTATACTTATCTTCTTTCTGTCTTAATAGTAGCAAAAGCATTTCCTAAGTTATCATAACTTCTTGGAAACCATATTTTCTGAAAAAATTTTTATTATGGTAAAAAATATATAAAATTTGCCATTTTAACCATTTTAAAATATACAGTTCAGTGGCATTAATCACATCCACCATGTTGTATAACCTCAAAACATTTTCCGTACCCCAGACTGAAATTTGTAACCAAACAATGACTCCACGTTTCTCCTGTCCTTAGCCTATGCTAACCGCTAATCTACTTTCTGTCTCTGTGAATTCACCTGTTGTAGATATTTTATGTAAGTGCAATATTTGTCCTTTTGGGTCTGGTTTCTTTTTCTTAGCATAACGTTTTAAAGTTCATCCACGTTGTAGCATGTGCCAGAACTTCATTCCTTTTTATAGCTGATTAATATCCTATTGTGCATATGTACCACATTTTATTTTTATTGATTTCAGAGAGAGGAAGGGAGGGGAGAAGACAGAAACATCAGTGATGAGAGAAAATCATTGATTGGCTGCTTCCTGCAGACTCCACACTAGGGACTGAGCCTGCAACCCGAGCACGTGCCTTGGCTGGTTTATAGGTCAGTGCTGCACCACTGAGCCACACCGGCCTGGCTGTGTACCACATTTTAGAAACCATCATTTTTACTGGCTCTACAATCCTCTTGTCTGTGGATGGGTCCTGGTTTCTTAGTCATTGTCTCCTCTTCGCCCCCACTCAGATAAGCCTCGTAGCAGATACGCTGTCAACAACACTGGAGATCATGCTGAGGACCAGGACGGTGACTCCAGGTAAGGGCTCTGACGTCACTCAGGGCCCCAGCAGTATGGTGGAGCTAGTCCTGCCCCAAAGCCTGTGCAAAGCTCCACCTGCTGTTGGCCTTTGTTTCCCCTGAGAAACCGGGTGTTCTTTTTTCCCATTTGGTGGGTGTTCTGGGTAGAATGGGGCAGGGGACTGATTTGCCAGTCTCTGGCTTGCTGCATAGTTTGGTCACGTGTTCCAGCTGTGAAGCGGGTTGGAGATGAGATGAGGCCAGTTTCTGTCAGTCGTTTACCTCCTGTGAGGGGAGCGTGGAGGAAAGCACACCCGTTGCCGTCCTCAGACCTTGTTCCTCAGGCAGAGCCCAGAGGTCACGTGTAGGTGCTTGGGTGCAGGGCGGAGTGTCCAGAGGGTGAGATGGGCCGAGAGCTGGGGCTGATTTGAGCCTCGGCCTTTTAGGGCACAGGTGGAAGCGGGTCTTGTTCCTTCTTGTATGTGTCCCCTTGTTCTCTGTGGGAAGGACTATCATTGCAACAGGAGGAATGGCCGCTTCTGCCTTCTTACGTTCATTTTAAAGCTTAGTAAGTGGTAACGCAGACCCAGATGAGGCAGGGGAGATTGTAAGCTGCCTGTTCTGGTTCCCCTAAGCATAGCTGGGGTCTTTGTGAGCTAAGGTCCCCACATGGGAAAGCTGAGGTCCCCGAATGGGCCTTATGCATGCAGACCGCACAGCTTCCCTCAGTTCCTGACAAGGCACCACCGCTACTACAGTGTGTACAGTCCCATGATCATGGTTTTTATTCTGTGTGTGAGGATGGCAGGGCCTCTGGCGTGACAGTGACTGTCTCTGAAGGGAGCAGCTTTGGAGAAGGGAACAGCAGGAGGGGAAGGGGAGGAGGGAGGTTGTTGGACATTCAGTGTGTCCTTCTGGTCGACGTAGAGGCCAGTGCTTGTCTTGTCCTTTAGACAAGACGCTCGTTAGAGGCACCCACAAAGCTTTGCCCCTGCACATGGGGCGGGTGGCTTTGTCTTCTCCTGGGTCACAGACCAGTTTAGAGCGGGGCTGGCCGGTTCCTGATGCTCTTCCTCTCAGCCCCATGGGTGTGAGGCTCTGCTCAGGACATGAGGACTCAGAGCTCTCGGAATGGTCTGTGTAGGGTATTTTTTAGGAGGGCCAGGAGCACAATCCTTGCAGGTACCTTTCAGAGCTTGTAAGAAAATCACTCTGAGGTAATGCATTTGGTAATGTTATTAGCACATTATGGCATCTGATGATCTCTTCCCACCTCTTATTTTTAGAGATACAGGTAATGCCCTAGGGACCCAGCTTTATTTTGGCACATAGGCCTGCCCCTGGCAACTGGGGAACCTGTCATACTCACACATTTTCCCGAAGCACTGCAGACCATTCTTTGTCCTGGATCATCATTCTCAAAGGTGCTTTTCTCCTGGAACCAGCAAAGTGTTTCTGCTTGTCAGTTTGCCAGATTGAAACAGTGTGGACAGGCCCCGTGGGTGACTGAACGTGGTGCTGGCCTGCCTCAGAGAAGTGAAGGTGCAGAGCTGTGCTGCCCAGGGCCGAAGCCACTGGCCAGTGTGGCCATTGAAATGGAAACGAACTGAAATTAAATAAAATTGAACATTTATTTCCTTAGTTTCACTTGCACACATTTTACAATAGATGTTCAGTGGCCCGCATGTGACTAGTGGATACTATATTGAACAGCGTAGATTTAGAATATTTCTGTCTCTGAGGAAAGTTCTGTTGGACAGCACTGGTTTTAAAATGTGGATCATGAAGGTGATGTATCTCAGGGTATATGAATTAGTTGTCAGTTTTAAAAAACCCAACTAGAATTTAGAAGGGAGAGAAGAAAATGGATTTTGTCTGTTGTCTCTAAGTTTTGAAATTCAAGTTTAGAGAAGTTGTAGTGTTCCTGATTGTAGGGTGTTAGGAGCCAGGGAGCTCCTGCTTACTTCCATCTCTGGTTTAGTCACCCCACACTGGCGGGGACAGAGCCATGGGGGGAGGAAGCTGGCATCCATTGGGAAGACTGTTGTGGGCCCAGTCCCTCCTGGTGTGAATGGCTGTTCTGGCTTCCTCTCCATGTTGCTAGCGTTGTTCTGGTTACTGCCTCCGAGAAGGAGATGCTGGTGGTTTGGAAGAGTTACCTTCATTTTAAAACTCTCTGAATCATTTCACTTTAGATATCATGCCAGAGCTTTGACAGGTTTCTGTCTCTGCTCTTTATCTCCCCATTGGCATTGTGTGGCATGGAATCAGGGGGCACTGCTGCCCTCTCAGACGTGGCTGCCTTTTTTGAAGCAGTGGGGCATGCCCTGTGCTGGAGGGGGGCTGCAGCCAGGTGAGCCGTAGTGCTCGCTGGCACACAACATGCAAGTCCTCCATGCCAGGCACACAGGGCTCCACCGGAGCCTCTTGCCAGCTTCGCTTGGTGGCGCATGTACTGAGGAAGAGGCCCCTGCCTGCTGGGTTTTAGGTCAGTACTCAGAAATGTAGATAAACAGTGTTGTTCCCAAGCTTGGGTACCTCCCTTTCCTTTTCCTGGCCCCTCTGAGTCCACATTGGCATGTTCCTGCAGGGCAGCATGCTGGGATAAGTGCAGGCTCAGGGTTCCGGGTCTGATTCTCACGCTGTGGCCTAAAGTGTGTGATCTGGGCGTGTCCCTTAGACAGGGAGCCTCTTCTTAAGATGCCTCTCCTCCCAGGAGATGCCATACGAACACCTGCATGTAGGTGCGAGCGCTTGTGATGGCTCTGCCTCCCTCAGAGGGGCAGACACAGGCCCATGAAACATGCTTGTGGAGTTTAACCTTTTACATGTCACCCCCTCCCCAGTAAGGAAAGGGAACACTGCTGACACTTGTAATCCCCGTGTGCTTCTTCCCATTGGAAAGTTAAGGAATATGTTTCCCCGAAAATAAGACATGCTCCGAAAATAAGACCTAGCACATGAAAAGATAAGACATCCCCTGAAAATAAGACCTAGCGCAACTTTGGGAGAAAAAATTAATATAAGACACTGTCTTATTTTCGGGGAAACGGGGTGTGTGTGTATGTGTGTGTGTGTGTGTGTATGTGTATGTGTGTGTGTATGTATGTATATATATATATACACACACACATATATATATATATGTGTGTAATATTTTAATCCTCGCCCGAGGATATTTTTCCATTGATCTCTAGAGAGAGAATAAAGAGAGGGAGGAGGGGGAAAGAGAGAGATATCAACTAGCTGCTTTCCACATGCACCCCAACTGGGGCTGGGGATCAAACCTGCAACGGAGTTACTAGTATGTGTCCTTGACTGGGAATTGAACCCACGACTATTTGGTCTGCAAGCCGACACTCTATAACCACTGAGCAACACAGCCAGACCAAGTTAAGGGATTTTATGACCTGTATAGGAGTAGCAGATAAAGTTCTAGGGGTCATACTCGAGCTTCAGATTCTGACTTTCTGGATGATCTTGAGGAAGTCCACACACCATCTTACCCCGTCACTGCTACACAGCGAATGAGCTAAAGTTCAGGAGCTGCTGGAAAAGAGCGTTCTTCATTGTATTTCTCCGGCATGGGTCTTTGGTAACGTGAGTTCTCGGTGAGAGCTGTGGGGAGCAGCAGTCCCAGCAGGGCAGCCTGGGGGGCACGCATGGCGTCATGGCAGGCTCTCACCCCTGCGAGGCTGTCTGCACGGTGGGGCTCAGGCCTACTCTCTGTTCCCAGCAAACCCGGAAAGCAGCACGCTTGAGACCATGTAGAGGAACTTCAACGCTTTTAAATGTTTTTTCTAAAAAAGCGCAGGTCAGATAGTGCAGCGGTCTTGGACATTCCCTAACGTAAGTATATCCGGTTCCGCCATGACTGCCTTGCTGAAGGCGCCACGCGGGCAGAGACTCAGTGAGCTCAGCTAAGCAGGTGGTCATAGCATCTCCGGCACTGGGGCTGAGGTGGTCAGTGCATTGTACAGAGGTGTTTACCCACGGGCTCGTACTTGATCCGGGGAGACGGTTTGTCAGATTCAGTGCGGGTGCATCTGGCCAGTGTGTGTGGTGCTAGGCTCTGCCCAGGTCTTCCGGCCTTGCTCTTGTTCTGGAAACTGACCCTCGTTCTGGCCCACTCTGTTCACGAATTTGAGCGTTAGTGAGAAAACTGTGTGGTAAGTCTTCAAGTTGGGGAGTTGTCTGCATCCTTTCTTGTCTGGTAAGTTTCATAGCCTTGACCTCAACAGTTAATGCTTAATGGTAGTACGTCTGCTAGACTTGAATGCTGTTTTAATAAAAACAACTATTAACTTTTCATGATTTTAAAAACCAATGTGTTTTTGTTTGGTCTTGATGGTCCTGTTCCCATTTCAGCGAGCCATGTCCTCCAACCGATGAGCAATTGGTTGCAGGGTAAGACCAAGACTTCTCCACCGTCTTTCTGTCTTGATTTCCGCTACCTTCTCTTCTTGTAATTGTGCTTAACTCCTGATCTCCCTCAATGTTGAAGAATGACTAATGAGGCACACAGGCTCTCGCTCGGATCCCACGGCCCCTGCCCTTTCTCCACTGGGAGTTTTCTATTTCACTTCCCCAAGAACCTACGCAAGATTGGCTGGCACCAGGGCGGCTTCTGGGACCAGGCTTGCACTCACACCTCCTCCAGGCAGGCACCAGTAGCCCTGGGAGGCCAGTAGGTGAGCAGAGCAAGGTTTCTTACCCCCCCTCCCAAGAGAGATCCTTAATTATTCTCTTTGCCTTCATGTCTCAGAGGGTTTAGTGGGGGCCTCTTTCCCAAGGGCTGGGCGTTGAATGTAATGCTTGAGGTTAGATGCTGTTGTGTGTGCCCTTTAGAAGCAAAATGCACCCATGGAGCTCACCTGGCACTTCTTCAGGAGGGCATAGTAAGGTGTGACCCTCCTGTCCCCCTGACATGATATCCCCTCTGGGCATTGGGGTATCTTTGAGCCCCCCCATAACCAGAGGGTGCAGAGTCAAGCTCCCTTCCATGCCGCCCCTCCCCCTTTTTTGATCAAGCCAGAGATCAGATCCAGCCCTGCTCCTGAATGCCTCAGAAGGAGTGGAGGGTCTTGGCCTGGTTTCTGGCTGGGCTGGTTCATCTTCCTAAATTTTTTCTTTTTAAATTTCTAAGTTATTCCAGGAATGTTAGTTTTGCAACAGCTATTTCATTGTGTGCAATATAACTTACTAGGCCTTTTACCATCAAAACAAGAGGAAAAGATCTTTGTAAATTTTGGAAGCAACAAACAAATATTGTCATTTGTTTTAGTTTCAATTTGCTATTCATAACAGCTTTTCCCCTACTCCCCAGATCTCATAACTATGCCTTTGTGTATACTATATCAGCAGACACACTATATAAAGCATAAAGCCACTGAAGTGTTTTTTCCTCACTGTAAGTGTTAACATTGCAGTGGCGAGTGGATTTCTCTGTGGGCCAGACTCGCTCAGATAAGCACCACCCCCCTGGCCACCTCAGGGGTCTTCCCTGAATGGCCACGTTGGGCAGGTGGCTTTTACCTCCAGCAGCACAGGGCTTTCTGGTTGGCTCCTTCTGCAGATGCTGGCCTCTCTGGTCTTGGGAGGAAGCACTTTTTATTTGTCACATGGAAGGATGCTTTTGGATTTTGATATGTATAGATATTCAGTAGACCCTGCTTACCTCTGACTCTCAGGACCCAGCCCACAGCCAGGCTCGCTCAGGTTCCTGGACTAGTGGCCGAGGGCAGGCAGAGGCTCATGTGTGGGCCTGGATGACAGAGCAGAGGTTTTTAGTGGAGGTGTTTGGATATCACAGAAAAAAGTGAGCTTTCTGGAATAGTGGGAGGTTGTTTTCTATGCCTTATCTTTGTCCTTCGGTGGCAGACTGGAGGAGCTATTTGCTTAGATAGGATGTGAAATGTTGGCACTGGATCAATTATGAGGGCAGAAGTGTTTGTTTATCACCCTGAGCCCTCTCTCACCCTCAGACGGGAGTTATAGCGCAGAGTGAGCCATTTGGAGTTCTTAAAGCATATGCCTCTGGCGGGAGACACTGGGATATTCCGTCTCTGGCTTAATCACTCCAGAGAGCAGTATTCCCAGAAAGAGACCCATAATTGGCAGCTAAGGACTTAGGCTGTGGGTCCCTCATTTCCCAGACTGTCTCTGACAACCTCGCTGTCAAAAGGGCTGAGTGCAGTCCTGACACTGTCTGTGGGCCACAGAGCACCCTGGGACACCTGGAGGACCATGGCAGTCCTGGGAGGGCTGGAAACCAGTGTGACACCCCTCCCCAGGCCTTAGCAGTGCCAGACTCCCCTCCTGTTGGGGAGAGACTTGGGAAGAGTTCTCTGGCTGCTTGTCCAGCAGTTTGAGTGCCGGTTGAACGGCAAGGTTCTTGCTGCAGGCTGGCTTCAAGTAATTACAATTTATTTTTACTTTTTTATTTTGAGAGAGAGAGAGAGATTGATGTATTGTCCACTTATTCCTGCATTCATTGGTTGCTTCTGGTATGGCCCTGACGGGCGGTGGAACCAGAAACCCTGGTGTATCAGGAGGATGTTCTAACCAACTGACCTACCCGGCCAGGGCTCAGGTCACTCTTTCACAAGATGGTGAGCCCTGCCATGTGTAAGGAGCCCAGAGCAAACGACCCCCTTCCCAGATCCTTTATCCCAGAGTCATTTCTTATTTCAGAGTTCAGCTGAAGCAGCAGTTTGTAGCAGACCATCTTTTTTCTTCAGAAAATGGAGAGGTATGGTAGTAGTCGCTCCCCTCCCCCCCAGTGAGGTCATCCAAGAGAAAAGTATCCAGTATGGTGCCTGATTCACTGTGCTCCTTAGCATGGGCCCAGGATGCACGCTGGAGTGTCTGCCTTTGATGGCCTCCAGGGCTCCAGGGGTCTGTGCCCAGGAGCAGAGCATGGTCCTGGGGGAGCTGGAGCCACTTGCTCCAACACAGTGCACTCTCCCAAGGTGGATGCTAGGAGTGCTTTCTGCGGTGGAGAAATGAGCACGGGGCTCGTCTCTCTTCTGGCTCCAGCTCAGACATGTGCATCAGTGTTTCTAAAGTGCAGGCCCCCTCAAGCCTGGGCTCTGAGATAAGAGTCTGCACTGCACCCCCAGCACTCTCCTTCCCATGCTGCCTCTCCCTTATCTGGGTCCCTGTGGCAGGAGGGACAGGGTTGCCAGTAAGAAAACATAAGTGTACTGATGCATCTGGCAAAAGGGTGAACTCATATCCAAATCTGCTCTCACCCACACCACAGCCATTCCCACTCTGTGGCATCCAGTCCTGTGCACCCTAAGTCCATTTCATATCCGTGGGCCTGGTATCTTGCTCATCTCTTACAGTCTCTTCCCTAACAGAAGCTGGAAGGTGTAGGTGTTGAGGATAAGGGAAGGGTCGGGAAGTCATGCTGAGAAAGGTAATTGGCAGTTAACGCTGTACTCTTGCCCTTTACACAGCCCTGGGGGGTGGGGGTTCCTGGGAGTTGAGAGGTGCAGCCTAGTAAACCTGGACCTGATGGTAGCGCCCCCACGCCCACCCCACCGCCACCGTGAGCCTTCATGAGCAGCTCCTCAGGGCAGCGCCAGCCTCAGCTGTTATTCCTCCCTTTACCTTTAAAAGCAAACTGCAACCTGTTTCTCTCCTGAATTTCATAGAGCATGCCAAGAAATTGACAGCATGTGCCTCCAGTCTATGCTTCTCATGCCTTTTACCTTGTAATTTGGGTGATTTTATGTCCCAAATCTTGGGGATTGCTTCAGAAGGCAAATGATAGAAGCTTCCAGGTCATCAGTGGGGGTCAAGCCACTTTGCACACAAAGCTGCCATGTACTGAGATCCTTATCCGCTGAGGGCAGCTGGTGTGGGGCTGTGACACTTTCTTCATTTATTTTCACTCTGCCTCTTTTTGATTTTAAGGTTTTCAGATGTCATTCTGGCAACAATTTTGGCAACCAAGTCTGAAATGTGTGGCCAGAAATTCGAACTGAAGATTGATAATGTGCGTTTTGTCGGGCACCCAACACTCCTACAGCATGCACTGGGGCAGGTAAGGGTCAAGGGTCTCCCCAAGAATATAAGGCTCCCCCTGGGCAAGCACAGCCCGTCCTGGTCTGGGCCTCAGGGAACTGCCACTGGCTCTGGTAAAGGTAGCGAGTGTGTGCCAGACCTGACAGCTGCCTGCTATGAGCTGCACTTCATCGATTCTGAGGAACCCCCAGAAAGAGACAGGCATCTTTGCCCCCCAAGTTTTAGTCTCTGCCCCTCGCTTTGGTAAAGTGGTACAACTATTTCTGCTTGTTAAGTGATCTCATGGCCATTATTTTTTAAAGTTAGCTCTTACTATTGTGCTAAATCCTTTACATACATTCTCTGATGAATGAAATGTTACGGTGCTGGAGTTGTAACAAGATAGAATCACTGTGACCCAAAGGAACTTGCACACCAGAACCTGCCAGTGAGCCCTTTGCACACAGGCAGAATCAGCAACAGCAGCACTCAGATTCTGAAGGATTTTGATATGACAGTACGAGATTTAGCTCCATTTATCTGATCCAGAAATCTGAGGGTCTGCAATGTGGTCTTCAAATGTCCTCCATGACCAAGCTGGTAGAGAGAGCTGAGGGGGTTGGGGGTGCTAAAACATGAAACCCCAGGGACAGCACAATCCCTCCTCACTGAAACCCTGCAGGCAGGGATTAGATCTCTCACTATGACTGTGGGTGCTGGAGGGGAGGTTTGGCCGCCTGCCAGCAGTCCTGGGCCTATAAAACTAGAGTGACAGGCTGCATGGTGAGGAGCTAGTTGGGATAACCCAGGGAGAGCTGGAGCCCTGGCCTCTTACGCCTCCTAGTGGCTACCCTTGAAATCAGCGGGGTGTTTGTGACTGGTTGGCTGGCTGCCAGAACAGCAGCCTTGTCTCTCCTGGCTCTAGCATTGTCCTCTCTTAATCACCTTGAGTACTTAGCGTACCTGGCAGAGATGGCCTCAAGAGCTCAAGTGGACACGGGGGATGGCAGTGGGGAGCACGTCTGGGCAGAGAACACTCCATCTGCTTGGGCCCCTCTCCATCTCGTCTCCTCTGGGCACTTCAGCCCATTCCATTGACTGGGCAGCCTCTTCATGCTGGTCATAGCACTGACCTTCCTGTTAGCTCAGTGGGGACTCATCTGTCCGTGCGGTAACCACTAACTCATGCAAAGGTGCTGACCCCGGGGCTCTGTTTTCTTTTGGTTCTGCTATATTTTGGAACCTTTCCCCATGCTTAAAGTAGAATAGCTCTAAACAGCTCTTCTTGGGAAGTGGTGGCTCTCGTTCAGTAGAACTATGCGTCTTTTACAGGTCTCCAAAACAGACCCATCCCCGAAGAGGGAGGCTCCCACCATGATTCTTTTTAATGTGGTATTTGCGCTAAGGGTGAGTGTTTCTAAACGGCTGAAGGGCATGGGCACGGCAGGAAGGAGGGGGAGGGGAGTTACAGCAGCTCACTTCTGGTGACTCAGTGCTCAGCCTGCAGTGGGCATGGCATTGGTCTACACTTACTGTTTTCTTCTCTCTCTTTAAAAAAAAAAATAAAGTACACATAACATAAAATGTACCATTTTAACTATTTTAAAGTATACTAGATGCCGAAGCACAAAAATTCGTGCAAGAATAGCCTTCCTTCTGGCTGCTGGCACTGCCTTCCCTTGGGTACCCAGGCCCTGGGCTGGCTTCCCTTTAGCCCCGGCTTTGTCAGGACATCCAGAAGGACATCTGGTCTAATTAGCATATCACCCTTTTGTTATTATAGATGGTTTGGTGGCATCTTGTAACACTGTTGTGTAACCATCACCATTATCTAGTTTCAGAATGTTACTGTTACCCTAGGAGCTCAATTATTCCCTTTCTCTCTCCCACCCTCTCCCAGCCCCTAGAAACCACCAGTCTACTTCCTGTCTCTGTGGGCTTACCTGTTCTGCATGTTTCATATGAATGTGATCCTACAATATGTGACCTTTGGTGTCTGGCTTCTTTCGATGAGCATAGTGATTTTGAGATTTTCCTTTGTCATGTATATCAGTACTTTACTCATTTTTAAAAAAATATATTTTATTTATTTTTCACAGAGAGGAAGAGAGAGGGATAGAGAGTTAGAAACATCGATGAGAGAGAATCATCAATCAGCTGCCTCTTTTATACCCCCTTCTGGGGATGTGCCCACAACCAAGTTACATGCCCTTGACTGGAATCTTTCAGTCCGTAGGCCGATGCTCTATCCACTGAGCCAAACCGGTTTCAGCAGTACTTTACTCATTTTTATGGTCAAATTGTATTCCATTGTGTGAATAGACCATACTTTGTTTATCCATTCATCTGTTGATGAACATTTGAGTTTTTTTCACCTTTTGGCTATGATGAACAATGCTGTTAAGATATTTGTATACAAATTTTTGTGTGGACACATGTTTTCATTTCCCTTGGGTATATGCCTAGCAGTGGAATTGCTGGGTCATATGAGAACTGTGTTTAACCATTTGAACTGCCAGACGGTTCTCTACATTGCTGCACCATTTTACATTCCCAGAGGCAGTGCATGAGGGTTCCAATTTCTTTACATCCTGATTGCACTTGTTATTTTCCATTTTTTAAATAATGAAGTCTAATTGTTCTTAAAACAGTTCTCAGTGTTGTCTGAAGTTGTGTTTTTAGTAATTACAGGACATTTTTTTCAGTAAAGCTGTCAAAATATAAGGACCCAAATAAACATAAAAGGCACCCCTGGGTGAGGACTGGCTTACATTATTAATGGAATACCCAGGGAATTTGTATTCATTGACTGTTAAATAATGGCATTCCTCTGAAATTATCAGTATCAGTTTTCCCCAAAGAACCCAGAAGTTCTTTCCGGCTGGGCATGTGATCTGCACCACAGCTTTTGTGCAGCAACAGGAGCGAGAGAGTGATTGGATTTCAGCAACAAGGATGCTCCGAAAACCTTCAGAGTGGCAAAAGTGAGACCGAGTAGAAAGGGAACCTATAAAATTAGGTGCTGCTCTGAGTCTCACGGGGTTTTTTCACAGTGCCTTTTTTTGATATGGAGACTACATGTTTCAAAATCAAAATAATGCTAGAGAAAGGATCCATTAGAATGAAGCTTACTTTTTAAATGTTTACCTTGTTGATAAACACAGAACAACAAGTTAGGACAAAATGATTTGTTAGTGGTGGGAGCATGAAGTTCTAAGAGATCTTTTTTTCTACTTTATACACTTCCGTAGCATTTGCCTCTTCACAATATTCTTATATTACTTACATAATTACATAGTATAAACACATCCACAAAGAAAACTCAAATTAAGAAGAAAACAAGCCAATGAAACCCATGACGAATGCCGTCCACCTGTCAGGCCTGATAGCTATACACTTTGCTATCTCATGCTGGGGGATGGGCAGTGAGGAGCAGCCACAGCCCCATCCAGATGTTGCCAGCAGGCTCCCATCTCTGGGCAGCATGAGATAGCAAAGTGTATAGCAGTCAAGCAAACAAGCATATTATGAAGTCTTATAGAGATTTTTATTATAATGATTAGACTGGAAATAATTCTGGTCTCCAGTAGTTGAGGAATGGCTGGAAAAGATGGTAGTTGCTATACACTGGATGTTTGTAGCCATTAAAGTTGAGAAATGGGGATGATATCAGAACCTGGAGGAGTATAGATTTCCAAAGATAGTATAGGACTTCAGATAGCGTGGGCCATAATGTTGAAGAGTGGGAGGAATTTTAAATAATGTAAAGAGTTGATATTTTAGGGTAGACAAGTTATCTTTTCATTAGTCATGTAAAAATGTATGTATATGTATTTATTTTAAAAAGCTTTAAATGCTGAGTTAGTAACAACAGTTTGATAAACCTGTACGCCCATCTCTGAGATTCCACACTATCACCGTTGCACCATGGTTCTAGTACACCCCCCTTATATTGTCACTAATGTATTTCAAGACAAGCCCTAACCTCACGTCTGTTCACTCTTACATACTTCAGAAGGCATCTCTATAAAAATATGGACATTTATTTTATATCAGAATACCCTTTTCACACCTGAGGAAATTTGCAATAAATTGGTATAAACTAGTACATGTTTCATTGAAGCTTTCCCCAATTGCCACAGCATTTTTGCAGGTTGTCTTGTCTGAATCAGGATTAAGATTCAGTCCTCACAAACTTGTGTTGTTGTGTCTCTAGATCTCTGGCAGTCTAAGACTCTCTCCCCGATTTGTCCCATCACATGTTCTATGTTTGGACTCATCTCATTGTGCAGTCAGACTTGCTCTTTGACCCTGTATTTCTTTCTTTCTTTCTTTCTTTTTTTTAATACGTTTATTTTTTACAGAGAGGAAGGGAAAGAGTTAGAGAATTAGAAACATCAATGAGAGAGAAACATCGATCAGCTGCCTCCTGCACACCTAATGAGGATGTGCCCGCAACCAAGATACATGCCCTTGACGGGAATTGAACCTGGGACCCCTCAGTCTGCAGGCAGATACTTTATCCACTGAGCCAAACCGGTTAAGGCCAACCCTATATTTCTTGAAAACTAAATGCTTGATTACATTTGGATATGAGTTCTGGGGACAAGAAAGTCTCATAGGTGATGCCCTGAACTCCATGCTGCCTCACAGCACGTATGGGGAAAGTGTGGCATTTCTAAGAGCCCCACTCAGGGCTGCCATGTGCTAGGTGGTAGTGCTCTCAGTGTGGCCACACAGCCTCCGGCTCTGCAGGCACCTTGGACAGTGCTGGCTTGTGCAGCCAAGCAGCACACCCTGGCACACTCCGTCAGTGCTGGTCATGGGGCCTCGCCTGGGTAAGCGCCACCTTGCGTGTCTGGGAATGTGGAACAAGCGGGCCCTGCACGTCTGACAGCGCTGTCATGCCCCAGCCAGTGGGTCTCCTAGCAGAGAGTCATCTTCTAGGTGTGACTTGATTACTCTTCAAGGGAATGATCATGTGCTCAAGGTCAGTCTCCTATCTCTCCTTGCTGCGGGAGTATTTCCACACAGATTCTTCTGGAAGTGTCTTGAGGCAATTGTATACCTAAACCCAGACCCTGCAGTTTAGTCATCTTGCAGGGGCACTGTTGAGGGCATGCCCTTGCCACGAAGGGATAGGGCTGCTGCCAGTGGTGGGCACAGCTTGGGAATAACCCTTGGTTCTCTTCCCAGCACAGATAAGCTGCCAGGTGTGAGTTCTGTTTGTGAACATGAAATCTACGCATTTAGAAAATCTCTCCCAGCTCCCAGGGGTGGAGGTGTTTACTGTGGACACCTTGTGGGCAGGGCCCTCTCTGGCAGATAAACGAGAGGGAGGCAGCACCGGGGGTTCTAATCAGCAGCACCATTCTCCCTCTTGCTCTTCTCACCTCCACCCCGTAGGATGACTCAGCGGCCCGGTGGGCCTCCAGAAGCACTGAGTCATGGCTGGCCAGTTATCTGCTCCAGGGAGCATCTTCACAGACCTACAGCCACCTGCTCCACCCGTGGCCTGGCCCGGCTGCAGCCCCTGATAGTTTCTAGAGTTAACACAGGGGGTGGGAGTGGCTGGAGCCAGCTGGCTTCTCCTGTTAGCCAAGGTCATTTCTGCTAGAAAGAGCCACCTAACCTTGAGGATAGAAAATGTCCAGTGAACGCTTAGTCTGGTGCTTCTGTTTATTACATTTTGTGTCCCTATAAGGGGCTGTGTGACTGAATTCTACCACAGCCAGTTGGTCCTCCAGCAGTCAGCAGTACACTGGTGACCGCAAACACTGCCAGGGATTTTGCTCTGAGTAGTCTCTGTTTTGAGCACCTGACATTTCTGACTAATTGGTGATGGAGGTGCCACTGTTGTCCTTTCTTAGATGGGAGCCTTGTGACCCAGGGTCAAACAGCAGGTGGTTGGACAGATCTCTACCTTCCATTATCCCATTGGCTGCCTCTGCCAAGCCCAGAGTGGATGCCTGATCTGTGCCCTACCTTCCTGGATGGCCCTGGTGCCCTGCAGGGTGGGAGCCTTTCTCGTTAGAAATGCCTTACCCCCCCACACTGGGTGACCCCCACAGAGCCATCTCTGTGCTGCCATCCAGGCAGATCCCCAATATGGGATACTGAGCGGGCTGGCATTTATGGACAGCTCCTAGAGGGGACACAGGAAGTCGGTGACAGTGGCACCTGGAGAGGAGCCTGGGGGAAAGGTGTAGAGGATTCGCTCATGGTTTCAGGTTTTGCTTTGTATGTGTATTGTCTGAGTGCATGTGCTGCATTGAGTTAAGCTTGGCTTCTCCCACAGGCCAACGCGGATCCCTCGGTGATCAACTGCCTGCACAACCTGTCCCGACGGATCGCCACCGTGCTGCAGCACGAGGAGCGCCGCTGCCAGTACCTCACTCGGGAGGCCAAGCTGATCCTCGCGCTGCAGGACGAGGTGTCTGCTGTGGCCGACGGTGAGTGCAGCAGGCGTCTCCCACCCTGCCACACAGCAGGCGGCGGTCAAGGCAGGACACTGCGGTGGTTTGGAAGCTCTGTCCTCAGCCTGGACAGAGCACGCTCCAGTGCAAAGGAAGACTCGCGGGGGCACAGCTATACACCCGTTCCCAACCTGATGTGCTCACATTGGGTCCTTAGCCCGAAGCATTTCCTCCCCACAAATGTTCATGATGGCTCTTCACGCAGGTCGGGCACTGCCTGCTGGCCCCTGTGCTGCTGGCCCTGCGTCAGGCTGGAGGGCCTCGGAGGGGCCAGTGGGAGCAGTGAGCCGGCAGGGTGCTTTTCAGTTCTTTGTTTTCAACTAAATTGAAGGAGATCCTAATGGAGTTATCAACTGGAAAGTTATTAAAAATAATTTAAAAATATTTTTATTGATTTCAGAAAGGAAGGGAGAGAGAGAAACATCAATGATGAGAGAGAATCATTGATCGGCTGCCTGCTATACACCCCACACTGGGAATTGAGCCTGCAGCCTGGGCTTGTGCCTTGACTGGGAATTGAACCGTGACCTCCTAGTTCATAGATCAATTCTCAACCACTGAGCCACACTGGCCAGGCTATTAAAAATAGATACATTACCATGTGATTTTTTACATATTGTCAATATTTGAAAGTGTGGAGAGACACCTACCTATAACAGACCCCACCCCCGTCTTCTCAGGTCAGCATCTTTGTAACAAAAGCAAAAACAAAGAACACATTTGAAGGTGAACCCAGTCTGGTTTCAGCAGTAAGTAAAAACAGTGATTACCATGCATGAACTATCCCACTCAGGTGCATTTTCAGTAAAACTTTACTTTTTACGTTTAACAATAAAGTTTTATTTCTTAGAACATTTTCTTTAGAGTCTGTGACTTTATCACAGGCATCTTAAAAGTTCAATTTAGTACAAATAGTTTTAGATATTTATGAGACAAGATTAATGAAAAAGACTTTCAGTCAGAACAGTAAAATATTAGCATAAATGTGGGGAAAAGAGTGGGACAAGGCCTGAAACTACTTCGTCAATGAGGCAAAAGATGGCGCTGGTGGTCAGAGGGAGTCTTCAGGCGCAGTGGGGGAAAAGGTTTGTTCCTGTGATTCCTCTGACTGTAGCTTCAGGTGGCACCAGTCCTGAAGTTTATTTATTTATTTTATTTTTTAAAAAAAATCTTTGCAGGCCAGTCTTACAGTGAGCATCAGAAGTCTTTATTATAAATGCATTTTCTTTTCTTTTTTAAAAAATATATTTTATTGATTTTGTACAGAGAGGAAGAGAGAGGAATAGAGATTTAGAAACATCGATGAGAGAGAAACATCAATCAGCTGCCTCTTGCACACCCCCTACTGGAGATATGCCCGCAACCAAGGTACATGCCCTTGACCGGAATTGAACCCGGGACCTTTCAGTCCCCAAGCCGACGCTCTATCCATTGAGCCAAACCGGTTTCGGCCAGTCCTAAAGTTTAAATACAGATATTTCCTATAAAGACAGTTGAACAAAGCAGCCTACGTGTAATTCTACCTCATCTGGATGTAAACATTTTATGAGAAGCAGTTGTGAGCCCTGGCCGATATGGCTCAGTTGTTTGGGCGTCGTCCTGGGCACTGAGATGTTGTCAGTTTGTTTCCTAGTCAGGGCACATGCTCAGATCGCAGGCTCTCTTCCTGGTAGGGGACGTGCAGGAGGCAGCCAATCCATGTTGTGCTCTCACATTGATGTTTCTCTCTCTCCTTGCCTCTCTCTCTAAAAAATCAATAAGCTATTAAAAAAAAAGCAGCAGCAGCCTGGCTGGCATGGCTCAGTGGCTGAGCATCCACCTACGCACCAGGTGACGCTCTGTTCTTGGCCTGGGCACATGCTCAGGTTGCGGGCTTGATCCCCAGTGTGGAGTGTGCAGGAGGCAGCTGATCAATGATTCTCTCTCATCATTGATGTTTCTATCTCCCCCCCCTCTCTGAAATCAATAAAATATGTATTAAAAAAAGAAGAGGAAGAAGCAGGTGTGAATATTCTGATGATTGGTTTAAAGTTACTGAAAAATTTTTAAGTTGTTTTTAAAGGTATTTTAACTTGTTTTTAAAGGTATTTTCTATTGTAGCCTATGTGGATTTTCCTTGCTTTGGAGATTCTAAATCCTTCTGTGTCTTAATTTGTGTGTGTGTGTGTGTGTGTGTGTGTGTGTGTGTCTCAATTCTTGCAGCAAATGATGGTCCGCAGTCTCCGTTCCATCACATCCTGCCCAAGTGCAAGCTGGCCAGGGACCTCAAGGAAGCTTATGACAGGTAAGACAGGCGAGCAGCACGTACTGTGCACTTCCTTCTCGTGGGCCTGATTGCCTGAGCGCGTCTGCTAGTGGGACTCCCTCGCTGGGTGCTGCTCTCCCGTTGTGCCACCGAAATGGGGGGAGAGGACAGGAAGTGCCAACCCCTTTGGTGTGTGCCCGGCTGGAACAGTCACCTCCATCCTTAAACCAGAAAGGGAGCCTGAAGTTATGCATGAGAGCCTGAGGTGATTTTACTGAGCCTGACGCAGTGCCAAGCTCTGGGTCCACCTTCCTTAGGTGCGTGTTGCTGTCACCCTTTACCCCTGAGGAAACAGGCTCAGAGGATGGAGATGGGGTTGGCTATGCCCTGAGGAGCTTGGGGACTTGGACACTAAGTGTCTGAGTGCAGCAGGTGTTGGGGACACAGCGGAGACTCCCAGTTGCCCTGATTATATCTGTGGCTCAGCACCTACTCTCTCAAACATGGACAAGCAAAGAACTCATTTTCTTTTTAGAGGGCTGAGTCTGCAGTGGGGGATGGAGGTTTGGTGGGGGCAGTGCCCAAGGGACAGCCCACCTGGCAGTTGCCTTTCCTGTCCTGCACCGGCCAGTTGGTTCACAGGGTACCACACAGCACCAGGCAGACGGCATGTAGGCACAGGCTTCCTCAGTGCCTTCCAGTTCCATTGCCTTTCTGCCTCCTCTTCCTCCTATTCCCTTACATTTCCACATTCTTCCCTGCACCTGCGCAGCTCAGCGCTCCCACCTGGCCTTCCCAGGCTCCACCCACCCCACCAAACGGTCCTGATGTAAGAACTGGGCGGCGACACCACGTGTCATCTAAGCCCAGAGGCAGTGGTTTGTCCAGAATCCTTTCCCTTTTTCATGTTAATTTATTCTGATTTTACTAACATTAAGGGCATTTAGGAAATACAGAAAAGCATAAACAAAATAAAAGTCATCTATAATTTTATACACGGTGATAATCACTATGAACATTTTGATAATTTTTTTAAACTTGATTTTTTGAAAGGTCACATGTTCATCAAGACTGAAATCTGGAGCTTTGATTTTGTCTCCTGCTGCATCGGGAGGATGCGGTTCAGCAGACAGCCTCCCTCACAGAGGGTTAAGGTGCACACAGGCAGTGGTCGCTGTCTCCCTTTACGTACTGGGAGCACACTGAGAATCCAGTTAGCCCGTTGCCTTCTCAGTTTAACAGTATAACTTAGACTTCTGCCTGAGCTTATAAATGAGAACTTTTTTTTTCTTCTTCTTGCTGTATAGTTAGCCAGCCCCTCCCTTGGGCATTTACTTGGCTTCACGTTTTGCTGCTGTGAGACATGCTGCTCAACCACATGTGTGTGTTATTTTGCATCTGTACCCATATATCCATAACACAAATTCCTAAAAGTGGAATTGCTAGGGAAAATAGGTAAATGCATTTCCCTCTGTGAGTAGGTGCCTCAATCTACACTCCCACCAGAAGCACGTGAGATACCTGTCAACACAGCGTCTTGGTGAGCTTTTTGGTTTTAATCAATATGAGGGGTAGAGCTTAGTGTCTCAATACAGCTTGGGCATGTCTTCACATGTTTAAACCATGCCTGGTTTCCTTTCTGGTAGCTCTCTGCTCAGACCCCCTGCTTGTTGTTCTGTTGGGAGGTGTACATGCCTTTAAAGGGGCAGTTGTCCTTTGTGAGGGCAGCTTGTCTTTATTTTGGTGACCTCTGGTGTGGCTTCTGGCTGTTAGAGAACATCGGGGCAGCCTGAAACTGCCCTTGCTGAGTGATGGTTTTGGTTTCTGGTCCCTCCTACTTCAGAGAACTTGACCCAGAATGGGATTTTTGGTCTTGTAGTCCGACCCTGTCTTTGTATTCCACATGATCACAGTGGAGTTTGCCCTGCATAGAAGAATTGTTGTCCTCTGGTCTAGATTGGCAGATATCAGAATCCCTTTCTAGGTCCTGGCCAGTGTGGCTCAATTGGTTGAATGTCATCCCATCAACTGATCAGTGTTTCTCTCTCACTGATGTTGCTCCCTTCCCCTCTCCCTTCCTCTCTCTCTAAAGTAAATTTTTAAAAAACAGTAAAAAAAAAAAAAAAAAAAAGAAAAGAAAAGTAAAATCCCTTCCTTGGAAACTGCTGTTGCCTTACTCTGAGTGGGAATTCGCATGCCTCAACTCGGATTATACTTGATATTAGCCAAAAGGCCAAGAAGTGATCTCACCTAGGATTAGACAGCAGCAGAATTCAGGCTAGCCTGGAATTAAAATGAAAAGCAAACTAGGAGAAGACTTTATCTTCCCAAAGAAAGAAGGGACTGTGCCTTCCTGTGTTTGAGCTGCAGTGGGAAGCTGGAGGGATGCGTCCTGGGCTGTGTCAGGGCCTGCTGCAGCTCAGAGCCTGAGGCAGCCAGTGCCCCCTAGTGGGCATCAGTTTGAAAGGGGAGGACAGGAATTGGTTTTTGGCAAAAACAGCTCCCAGAATCCACCGTCCAGCACTTAGCTCCCCTCCTTTAACCAGGCATCTGCTGTCAGTGCCCAGGATCGCATTTCCTGCAGGCGAACCCTGCAGCCCACCCTGTGTCTAGAGTCTACTCTGACCAGTTCTGGTCCCAGCTCCGCCTCCAGGAGAGCCGGGGGCAGTTGTGTCCATCCTGTAACTATCCCAGCCTGGCAACGGCAGTGGCCCCCAGGGGCCTCCCTGGCCTGTGGCCTGTGGCCTTCCAGGTCCATGTTGGCCCTGAGGGTCTGGCCTGGCCTGCCCCCATTCCTGCAGAATGGACTGCACCTTGGAGCTAAGAAAGGGAGGCTGAGTTTCTGTTACTGATCAGACAGCATAACAAGCAGACAGCGACTTCCTGACAGATCCCTGGGGAAGGGATTCTCAGAGCAGAATTGAGAGACAGGAAGCTGTGAGACTGAGCCATGTTGGAGATTGGGATGGGACTTCTCAAAGGAATTGTTCTGAGTTTGGTGTTTCAATTAAAATCCAGGGACCCAGCCAGAGCTGCTCAGTGGTTAGAACAGCTCAGTCATTGAACGTCAACCTATGAACCAGGAGGTCACGGTTCGATTTCTGGTCAGGGCACATGCCTGGGTTGCAAGCTTGATGCCCAGTAAAGTTGTGCAGAAGGCAGCTGATCAGTGATTCTCCCTCATTATTGATATTTCTATCTCTCCCTCTCTCTTCCTCTCTGAAATCACCAAAAATATATTTTAAAATAATAATAAAATTCAGGGTTATGATATGGCTGAGTGGCCTGGTGGCCCCTTGCCCAAGGACCTAAATATCTGCGAATGTAGGGTGGCAGTGTGAATCCCTCCAGAGGCCCCCGGCTGTTCTGGTGCCTGTGTCTTCCTGTGGAACCTGGTGACCTCAGTGACAGCAATCCCTTCGCTTCCTGACGTGCCCTTGTGCTTGTGTGCGGAGAAGCACAGCTCATCCACTAGTAGGTGAAAGGAGTAAATAGGAATCACGTCTCTGTGGATTCCGTGGGACTTGAAGTGCTTGCCTGACTGGTTCTCCATTGTTAACAGGCCGGTAGTGGGGTCTGCGAGGCTGGGGACTCTGCTTCACACTGCTGCCTGACCAGGGCCCACAGACACCTCCATGAATATTCTGGGAGTCTTAGTTCCTACTTCCATGAAGTGTACCTGCATAGAAACTTTGGTTTGACATTTCAAGGCTCATAGGTGAGCCTTTTGGAGCCCACCCAGACCTCTTGGATCAGGCACAGGGTCCCGCTGCACGCACTGGGCAGCCCGGCTGCGTGAGACAAAGGGATAGAAGGTCAGGCCGAGCTTTGCAGGGCTCTGGCCTGGGGCAGGAAGAAGGGTGACTAAAGCATGAGTCAAAAGTTAGCCAGAGGGTAGGAACTGAAAGGCTTTCTCAGATGCTGAGATCTGAGGGTGATGGGATAATCTTGTGTACATTTCTGTCTGCGGGTGAACGATAAGCATATTTTGGGCTGCTGTGTAGCCTCATGCACAGTCATCGCTCCAGGGCTGGGCTCTGGGGGAGTGTGCGTGTATCTCCTGTCACAGATAGGGCTTGGCTTTCCCTCTGGCCCAGAGCTGTGTGAGGGGCTGGATAAGCCTCACACGGGGGCAGTGTTTTTTCTGCAGTAATTCCAGATCAAACTATTAGCTGCCCTACGAAGAGAAGGGCAAGCTTAGTAGGAACTTTTAGGGCCCCAAACCCTACTCTGCTAGTCATGTCTTAAAACTATATTTTACAAACAAAACAAAACTGTGCTTTACAAACAGACACAGGCCTTTTTCTTCCTCCTCCTGACAGATTTCAGGGCAATTCCGGCTCACCTCCGCTGTGGAGGCTTCCGGGGCTTCTCCAGGAGCTCGAGGCCATTCTCTCTCTCGCTGACTAGTTCCAGGGCTTCCAGGAATTCTGGGGTCTGCAGCGGGCCCTCTAAGGGGTGGGTCTGCACACTGTCTGGAGAGAGGCACCACCATCGTTGCACAGTGCTCCAGGGGAGGAGGTTGCTGGCAGGTGAGCAGATGCTTGGAAAAGTGTAAAAACATCCTCATGGAAACCAGGAAACCAATGTGGGTGTTTCCTCCCTCCCCCCAAAAAAGGACCTCATGCCACTGTGTACCAGGCGCCACGGCCTGGGCTGGCTGACGTGTGGAGTTGCTCTGTGGGCCTAACTCATTCCCCCTCACCCAAACCAGGCACTTGTTGTTTCTCCATGAGGTTTGTTCCAAGCCCCAAACACCTGTCCCCCCTGCACACCCCACAGCCTCCTCTGCTTGTTCCCTTTCCTACAGCTCTCCCCAGCTTTTTTTTATTTTTTTATTTATTGATTATGGTATCACATCATTGTCCTCATCCCCCCATTCCCATCCCAAACCCCTCCCCACATATACCTCCACCACCCTGTTGTCCATGGCCACTGGCTAGGCCCATATGCATGCACACAAGTCCTTTGGTTGATCTCTTCCCCTTACCCCACCCTCCCCTACCTTCCCTCTGAGGTTTGAGAGTCTGATCGCTGCTTCTCTTTCTCTGGGTCTGTTTTTGTTTATCAGTTTATGTTATTCATTATTTCCTCTAGATGTGTGAGATCATGTGATCCAAGAAATACCCTTGTAAGAACCTAAACTGTGATAAGCCATAACGGTTATGCTGAGAGGCAAATGAATCAGTCTGTAGTGAATTCCTTTCTGGGCCAACGGTTCTTTTGAGTCCCAATTTCAATGTCAAATAGTTCCTATGTGTACATGTCAGCCATGCTATTTCAGATCTGGTTGGTGGACAAATGGTGGTGATGCAGATTCGCCCGTCTCTGGTTTGGTCCTGGGCATCCTTCAGGAACACACAGCTGCTGTCTGCTGGTATGGCAAGATGTCGTCAGCATCTTCCATCTCTGAATTGTGTCTCTTCTGTCTTCATGGCTGGAGCACTTCTGTCTATTCGTCTCTGTTACAGGATCTCCTCAGCTTCTTATGTTCCACACAGTTTGCCCTGCCGACGCCACTGAGTCAGAGGCCCCCAAATGTAAGGCTGTAAATTTTACCCCAGGACCTGAACCAGTGCTTGGAGCTTCAGCACATGTCAGGTCATTGGCAGTTTGCATGTGGCAGGCATCACTGGGCCCCTAGGTGGACAAAAACCAACCAGCTACCTTCAAAATGATAGGAATCTGTTCAGTTTTGATTCTGTGGTGTTTGACCAGCTCCTCTGAGCCATTTGCTGAAGAGGACAACTCAAAAACAGAAAGACCTTTATTTTCAGCCAACCAGCCTGAGACAGGAGAAGCCTGGCCATTCATTCTCCTGGCAGCCCCTGGTTTACCTCGTTGCTCTGTTCTGTATGTGGATGCTGAGAGCATAAACACTGCTCGCTTAATCAAGTGGAGCAGCTAACCTGGGTCTCCCGGGCAACTCTCTCATGGTGTGACCTTAGCTTCCTTAAGAGGCTGGCTGTGTCAGGGTGTGACGCCCAGCCAGCAAGTCCTTCGGCCAAAGGAGGGCACGACTACGGGAGCCTTTGTCTGCTGAGATATACGCTTAGCACTCAGTTCTAGGAGAAGCCAGGGTGGGATCTTCCTCTGGGGCCTTGGGGAAAGACCCTGCGTCTCTTCCCCAAATCGTGACACATCAGATCTGTCCATAGGTTTCACCCCGCGGGGCTGGCACACCAGCAGCGACCAAACCATGGTCTTCCAGACTCAGCGCAGCCTGCACACACCCTTCCCCCAGCCTCTGCAGCCAGGGGTGTTGCTTGGTGGCCTTGAGATCCTGGGAGAGCGGCATGGGTGTTCCCAGTGCCCCCGAGGCAGGGCAGGCAGAGAGCGTTTGGGAGCTGTGGGGCAGTTTGCAGTGAGCAAATGGTTGGTGTTGGCAGAAATCCTAGGAGTAGTTGAGGATGATAAATGTGCTCTGTATTCTTCCCACCGTGTTCTCTGCCCATTACCCATTCCCTGCTTGAGAGAATACAGACGTATTTTTGCATTTGAAACTGCTGACCACAGTTGCAGCCAGCCCTCCGGCAGACCTGTGGGGAGAAGCTTGGGGTGCTGGTCTGCTGCTTGAGGCTTCAGGGAAGAGACTGTAAGAACAGCCGGTGGGTGTGGGCGGTGAGGGCCACAGAGCTGCTTCCCAGCGTCGTGTACTTGAATGCCCCCAGGAGAGTCTGGGACCCGCAGCTCCCACCAAACCTCCCAGGCCGCTGGCCTGCCCCACACTCGCTGGACGTGAGCATCTTGGTCTGTCCAGCCAGCTGGGAGCAGGATTTCAGGGCTGAAATGTGATGGAAAGAGCACCGCCCGCCCTAGCGGGGACAGGGCAGGCAGGCGGCCGGCCTTCGCAGTGGCTCAGGTCCCTCCTTCACCTGCTGCGGGAAACGAGGATCAGCCGTGGGCACTTGGCCAAGCAGTTGCCTCTCTTGTGTCAGACACCAAGTGCTTCCAGTACTGAGTGCAGGGCTGAGTGGCCAGGCTGTGGGTGGAGTTTGAAGCTCCTGCTGGAAACAGCCCTTTTGTACGTGGTTCGCCAGCCGCCAGGGGCCCGTTCTCCGGGCGAGGGCTGCTTGAGGAAGTCCACCCGAGCAGGAAGCGCATTCCTCAGGCCCCTCTCCTTCCTCCGTTTGTGCGTTGCTCCTCAGGGGTCCCCAAGTATCTCACACGGAGCCCCCCATGCTGTGACAGGGATAGGCTCTCAGGGGTGCGGGAAGAGGCCAGGAACACCCTGCCTCAGTGGCATTGAGCCTCTGTGAGAGCACAGGCCTCCCCTGTGCCCTCGCACTGATGGGACCACAGTGAACAAAACACAAGGCCACCCCGAGACTGCATTCTGGTCGAGGCAACAGCTTACCCAGCAAACAAGCAGGTGTGTCCTGTGGTCAAGGGCTCAAAGCAGGTGGACAGTGAGCAGTCAGATTCCAGGGCTCACCTCGCCGAGAAAGTGGCACTTTATTGAAACTTGAAGGAGGGAAGGCGCTCCTGGCACCTGGAGGGAGACTTACAGTCCAGGGCAGGTACAAGGGCCCTAAAACAGCAGAGTGGCTGGTGTAGCTGGGCCTACCTGGGGTAGGAGACAAGGTCAGAGAACGTGGGCACATCACTCAAGGCTCCTGGCAATTGGGGGTCTTGGCTGGAACTGCCGAGGTGGAAGCCAGGGGGCCTTTGGGGGAGGGCGTACAGAGGGGGCTTGTGGGGGAGGGCAGATACAGGGGCCAGTGCTGAGAAGGACTGGACTTTGTAGGTCCCTGCAGGTGGTGCAGACAGGTTTGCTGATGGCTTGAGGCAGGCTGTGAGAGAAGCGAGGAGTTAGCTGCTGTGTTTGGTCTGAGCTAGGTTTGGGCCTGAAAGAACCAAATTGCCATCACTGAGGCTGGTTTCGACAGTTGCTGAGTGCACCTGGGCGCTCTGGCATCTGCAGGGAGATGGGCACTATGTGCTCCTCCCCAACAGGATGTCCTGTGGGACTTGGCACCTCCACCCATCCTCTGCTGCCCACGGCTCCTTTGGGGAGACAGGCCTCGCCTGCCTGCCTGCCACCTGTGGCGGGGATGGGGCTCTCATCAGGGGTGCGGGAAGAGGCCAGAGAAAGAACACCCTGCCTCAGTGGCATTGACCCTCAGAGAGAACACAGGCTTCCCTTGCGCCCTCGCACTGATTGGACCGCAGCGTCCGGGACTAGCCAGCAATACCGCACTCTCCTCTCTGCCACATGCCCAGGTCTGGAAAGATGCTTTCTTGCCCTGGGGGTCTCCACTGGTAGTTTCCTCCGAGCAGCAGGAGCAGTGTCCCGGGAAGAAGTGCCTCGGGCGGGGTTTTGTGTGGTGTGTGTGTCTGGGTAGAAGTTGCTGTGTGAATGGGCCATGGCACCGGCAGAAATGGAGCCTCCTGTCTGCAGCTTGTGTTCGTCTGGCGTGGTGCGGCTGCACATCAACAGCTGGCTGGAGGTGAGCTTCTGCCTGCCCCACAAGATCCACTACGCCGCTGCCAGCCTCATCCCCCCGGAAGCCATCGAGCGGAGCCTGAAGGCCATTCGGTGAGTGCCAGCCCCTTGCGCTCCCTCAGAGCCCCTCTCTCTGCCGGAGCTTCACCAATTAGTTCCAAGCGTTCTGTTCTTCCTGCCACAGAAATTGGCAGGTAAGGCTCCCTGTTTATAGAAGTAAAAACACCTGTTTTTGTGTCTGGTTTCGTATGGAAATGATCAGCTCCAGGTTTTCCCTGGGCCGTCTGGGCACGGCCTGGGTGGGCGGGCTCCGTGCTGAGGTCCTGGGTACTGAGAAGTCGAGCATTCTGGGGGAAAGACGTACCATTGGAGCGATATTGTCGTCATGGCTCCTCTTACATTTGAATTGGAACTTGCGGGATCTCCTGTTTCTTAATTTAATAGATTCCCTGCAAGGAAAGAGCTGAGCCCAATCTCCTTCTGCCTCAGCCCCCAACCAAGTCCTCAGTTTCCTTAAATACATATTTTTTAACTAAAAAAATAAATCTGGCACATTACCGAAATGTGAAGGTGGAAGAAAGCCAAGCACTGCCTCTCCCCCTCCCCCAGCCCGTGCTCCAGGTCAACATCTTTCCTCCTGGTTTCCTGCTAAGCATGTTTTCATGTAGTTCTATTCATAGTATCAGCAGCGATTTTACTTTTCCCATATTTGGGACTCTTTTCTTTAGGAAAGATTCTTTTATTTTTTCAATCACAAATGTTTGTAGGGCAACCCCAGAAGTAGGAGATGGAATCTGGTTGTCAGACCTTTCTCAGTTAAAAAAAAAAAAAAAAGTTTTTATTGATTTTATAGAGAGAGGAAGGGAGAGGAAGAGAAACATTATAAGAGAAACATCTAGCCGAAACCGATTTGGCTCAATGAATGGAGCGTCGGCCTGTGGACTGAAAGGTCCCGGGTTTGATTCCAGTCAAGGGCATGTACCTTGGTTGCGGGCACATCCCCAGTAGGGGGTGTGCAAGAGGCAGCTGATCGATGATTCTCTCTCATCGATGTTTCTAACTCTCTATCCCTCTCACTTCCTCTCTGTAAAAAATCAATAAAATATTTTTTAAAAAAAATAAGAGAAACATCTATCTACTGCCTCCTGCACGCCCCCTACTGGAGATTGAGCCTGCAACAGGGGCCTGTGTCCTAATTGGGAATAAAACCGGGGACCTCTTGGTGCATGGGGCGGCAATCAACTGAGCCACCCTTGCTGGGCAGACCTTCTGCAGTTTTGTTGTAATTTTTTCTTTCGTTCTGTGAGTGGCAGGAATCCTTGCAGATGTTTAGTCTCTAATCCCTCCTGTGGCCTCCCCTTCTGAGGTTCATGCCTGGGCCCCAGCTGCACCTTGTGTTCCAGTGCAGCCTGGGCCCGGGGGCCTGGGTCTCACATGCCCTCTGACCGGACTCTGCCCCACAGCCCGTACCACGCGCTGCTGCTGCTCAGTGACGAGAAGTCCCTGCTGGGCGAGCTCCCACTCGACTGCTCCCCGGCCCTGGTGCGTGTGATCAGGACCACGTCTGCCGTGAAGAACCTGCAGCAGCTGGCCCAGGACGCAGACCTGGCCTTGCTGCAGGTACTGCCTGAGGGCCCTGAGGGACGCCTGGGTAGGGAGGATAGGTGGGAGCAGGGTCTGGGTGCAGCAGAACAGAGGACCCTTGTTTGAAGGTGGGAGATGCTGGGGTGTCAGGAAAGCAGGCTGTCTCCATCCGGATAAGAACCCGTGACAGGTGGCTCCGGGGATGGTTGGAGGTTCTGAAATCTGAGTCAGGTCTGGATTCGGGACTGGCTTCCTCTTCCTTTGAGGGTGGTGAGGCTGCAGCCGAGAGGAGCGGGGCCCTGCGGTTGGGAAGATGCCAGGACAGGGTGGCTAGCAGGGCTGGAGCAGAGGCACACAGCATGTGGCACAGAAGGAAGCAGTGCCGCACCCTCAAAGTAAGGGAAGTGAGCACAGGACACAACACGGGCCTGCCCGCCCACATGCAGAGCCAGGACCTACCTCATGGCCTTGACCACTCCCCTGCAGTCCGGAAGCATGCGCTTGCGGGATGCCCTTTCTGATTGGATGGAGGCCCCCTCGCCCTGTCAGTGGATCTGGTTGGAGCCTGGGCAGGGTCAGGGGCTTCCCAGGAAAAGCACAGGAAGAAACTGCAGGCCAAGGCCAGGGGCTTCTCTGGTTCTGGTGACGGTGAGCACCGTGTGGCCACCAGAGGGCAGCAGGGCCTGTCCCAGGGACATGTAGTTCCTGCGACAGCCACTGGGCGGCAGTTCTCTCAAGCTAGTCTGAGGAGGAGCACAGGCGAGAGAGAGAGAGAGAGAGAGAGAGAGAGAGAGAGAGAGAGAGAGAGAGAGAGAGAGAGAGAGAGAGAGAGAGAGAAAAGAGGTAAGGGAAGGGGGAGGGAGAGGGAGAGGGAGAGAGAGAGGGAGAGAGAGAGAGAGAGAGGAGAGAGAGAGAGAGGCTGGCCCACCGGGTCTCTGAGGGAAGCTTGTCCAACAAGGACTCTCGGGCTGTTTTCCCCCAAAGCATCATTTTGGAATCTGCCATCCAGAACAAGGCCTTCCATCCTCTGCACCTCATGGCTGTCGGCCCCTGTGAGAATGCTTATTGGCTCCTGCCTTGGTGCTTCATAGGGGCTCTATCGAGGACCACGTCCTGCTTGCCTTCATAGCAGACAGAAAACACAGAGCCTTAAATGGCTCACTGTTCTGTGTGTGCTGCAGAGCAGTGTGCTGACCAGTGCTGGCCAGTGGCAGGTATCTGCGTCTTTGCAGCTCCCATTCCCAGTTTTGAAAGAAGCTGGCCTTCTGTCCCTGGGGCTGCCAACATGAAGTCTGTCTGTTCACCACGCCTCCCCCTTGCTCTCAGTCTCTTTGGACAGAGACATCTCCTTTGCTTCCCTGCCCCGGCTTCATGGGGAGAAACTCGCTTCCTTGCTGTGTGGTTGTACGGAAGCTCCCTGAGGCCAGCCCTGGAGGTGCACTCACCACCTCTGGGAGTCCAGCTTCCTCCAGCAGGTGGCCCAGTAGAGAGCTGTGTCTGCGTCAGGTGACTGTCACAGTCACATGATTGCTCTAGTCATGATGGAATTAACATGTTCTTTCTTACAAAAGTTCAGATAGGAAGTCCACAAAACCCAACATCCCAGACATAACTGCTGTAGATTCCCCAGGGCTTTTCTCCTAGGTTCACGCATTATCTTTGAATAACAAAATTTGGGTCACACTGTACCTACTTGTGATTGCCTAAACAGTGCCCATAGACCTCCGGACCTGTGTGGGACTTCGCAGGTGTGATTAAGGACCTTGAGGGGCGATGGTCCTGTATTATCCGGTGGGCTCAGTGTCATCACCAGGGCCCTTGTAAGGGGGGGACAGAGGGAAATTTGACTCTAGAAGAGGAGGTGGGGGTGTGACCATGCTGAGGCCACATGCCAAGGAGTGCTGCAGCGAGCAGAGGCAAAAACAGGTTCTTCCCCGAGAGCCTGGAGGGGCTGCCTGCCGGGCCTCGGCCCCAGGCATGTGCTGGTGGTGGTAGGCTCCTGGGCTCCAGAACGGTGCTCTGACTGTGGGGAGGCGCGGGAGGTGGAGCCACTGGGTGGGGTGGGGGCTGAGGAGGAGGAGAATGGGCGTGTCCTTGCTTTAGAGTAAATGTCAGTGGGGCTTGGGATGAGAGAAGGGTCAGTGATGGAACGGAAATGTCTGTTGTGTTCACGTTGGTGTGCCCCTGGAGGTCCCATGTGCCGGAATGAGGTAGATGGAGGTGTCCTTGGCGGTGTCGCAGGCATTGCCTGCAGGTGGGGTGACTCACCCCGGGGAGGCACGCAGTGATGGTAAAGGGGGGCAGCAGGCCTGCCAGGGACAGCACTCACCTAGGGGGAGGTACAACCAGATGTGCCCAGTGTCTGTCTTTCCACGAAGTGAGGCAGTGCCATGCTCTCAGACCTGCCTCCTGTGGGAGGCTGGCGGGATGTCCGGCATCTCGGTCTGTCCATCCTGACGTCCAAGAGGCCAGGAGAGCATCAGGGGGATGTTCTCCAGGATGCTGAGACACACGGGGAGGAGGCTTGTCTGGTGACCCCACACCCACTGTCACGTGGAAACCCATCTCCATGCTGGAGTCCTGTGGGGGTGGGGAACCTGCCTCTGCCAGGATGTCCAGCCCAGCCCCTGGCTCCGCTGAGCTTACCCCGTGATCCTGGGTGTGCCAAACGTCCCTGTGCACGTAGGACCTTCCCTCAGTGCCAGCCAGGACAGTACGGGGCCTAAAAGGAAGTGACAGTCCGAACCACACAGGGGACTGATGATCAAAGCCGTGTGGCTCTGAACACAGAGAGAGAACGCTGTGTGGCTGGCTGTGCCCACCCCCTGGGGGAGGTTGGGTATCAGAGAGAAGCCCCAGAGGGTCAGCCCCCAGGCACAGTGCGGCCAACCCCCCCCCCCCCCCCCCCCCCCCTGCCTGCAGGTCTTCCAGCTCGCAGCCCACCTGGTGTACTGGGGCAAGGCCATCATCATCTACCCGCTGTGCGAGAACAACGTCTACATGCTCTCCCCCAACGCCAGCGTGTGTCTGTGAGTACCTCCGGCTCAGAGCCCAGGGCTCCCAGGGGAAGGGGGTGTGGCTGGCAGGGCCTTCCCGGGGTGCTCTCCCGGTTCGCCAGGACTTCACTGGGACCAGACGCCTGGCCTCTGCTGTGCCCAGCTTCTAATTCTGGCCTGGTCCAGCACCACATGGGCCTGTGCACCCCCAGCATCTGCCATGTCTGCAGCCAGTGAGCCCTGTATGGGTGCCTGGTGGGTGGCCAGGAGTCTTAGCCTTTATTCCAGAGTTTAGACGGGCTGTGGGGTGGCCGTGCCCATTGCTTCTGCCACCCCTTGAAGGAAAGCAGCGGACCTGTCCTCATTGTACCCATCCTGACTTACCCACTATCGCATTGCAGCCATTCTCACCTCCCCACTGCGCTGTGTGTCCCTGCTGCCTACCTCAGGCTCAGGGCAAGGGCCCAAGTGCTGTGGATATGATGGGGAGAGCTCATGGACATGCTTGTCTCCCTGTCTCCAGGTACTCGCCACTGGCCGAGCAGTTCTCCCACCAGTTCCCGTCTCATGACCTGCCATCTGTCCTCGCTAAGTTCTCCTTGCCCGTCTCCTTGTCAGAATTTAGGAACCCCCTCGCCCCCCCTGTGCAAGAGGTGAGTCACAGGAGCTGGGAGCCCAGGAACCACCCCCCCGGATCGGCTCCTGGTCTCAGGGCCCTCTGTGCTGCACCCTGCGCTCTGGTTCGGGGGGTGGGAGGGGCCTTGTGGTGGAGGTGGTGCATGCCCCACCAGGGGAACAAAAAGCCGGCTCCCCAGCCAGGCCACTGCAGGCGCTTCACCAGTGACCCATGGAGCACACCTGGCTGCAGTGGGTGTTGTTAGTGTTAAAACCCCAGGAAGAGGCCCAGGCAGGACAGTGCTAATCTTTCCTGGGGGCAGAGCCACCTGGTGCCCCTTTCTGGGCCTGGGCCCCACAGATGGAAGCTGCTGAGGTGGTTCTGTGGTCACTGAGCCTGGGCCCGCCCTCCTTTCCCTTCCGTCGTGGTCCAGGTGGTCACTGGGTGCCCAGAATCTCACCCACGACGACCTGGAGAGGGTAGGCCTAGGGCAGGGGCTGGGGCGGGGGTCCTAGGAGGTGTGAGGCATGGGAGTGAACGGGTGAGCTCCATCTCTGTCTGGCAGGGCTGAGTGTGGCCTGGATCTTCCTTCACTGGACGCCTGGGGCTCTGGCCAGGGGCCCAGGGCAGGCCACTGGGGCAGGTGTCAGAGATGGGGCCAGGTGCTCTCAAAAGTTAAGTATTTGCTTTAATAAGCAGCAGATCTGTTAGACAAAACCAATTTTTAGAAGCAAGCCCTTTGTGAGATTGTGAATGAGAGGCGATCCTGGGTCCGCAGTTCATTTAGATGCGAGTGAGACAGAGCTCTCAATGCCGCCTTTCATGGGGCCTCCGGCTCCAGGAGCGGTGCCAGGCCGCGGCAGCTGAAAGAAAGACGCAGCTTGCAACTGCACCCTCCCCCTCTCCGGCAGAGACTTCCTGATGGCCCGGAAAGTGGGTGGGTTTTTCAGGCCAGGCCTGCGGGGCAGCCTCATGCCTGGTCATGGGGCTGAGAGAGCGGATTTGGTAGTACAGCCCTGGGGTAAGGCTGCTTGCCTCTCACCCTCCAGCTTTAGGCCTGGAATATGCTCTTCCATGCTTTGGAGCCTCTTTTATTTCTAATTTAATTTCAGATTTAGTTTACGACGCTTTTCAGTTTTATTTGGTTTTACCAGGTCAGACATGCCCATGGAACACCCCTATTTCCATGCCTGGTCAGTCAGGGACCTCCAAAGATGAGCAAGCAGATGTGGGTGTCTGAGAACACGGACACCACCTGGGAGCATTTTCTTGCTCACCTGTGCTGGAGCTCTGCCCACACAGGGCTTAAGGCTTCTCACTGCTCCGACTTTAGGTGCCAGCCTGTGGGAGACGGGTGGTGCCATGCCCTGGGCACCGCACAGCTCAGCATTGGGCCCTGTCCTGGAAGGCTTTTGTGTTGAGCTGAGGAGAGGACTTGCTGCTCTCAGGGCAGCTACCCACAGCTTCTGTCTGCACCGTCACAGGGAAGGGTCCCACAGGCCCAGCTCTGTGGCGGGGCTTGCGTGGCCGGGCCCAGTGGCTGGGGGAGACAGGGTAGCAGAGGGGTGGCTGAGCTGGGAGGGCACATGGGCCTCCATGTGACAGGTCCTGCTCCTCAGCTCTGGGCAAGAAAGGCCTGACACTAGGGCAGCCCAGGGGTGTGGCGGGAGCAAGTGCAAATATGGCCTCGCTGCTCTCCTGGCCTCGCTGCCTTCCCTGTAGCTAAGAGCTCCTTCCTGAGGGCCCTGGAGCTCACGCACCCCCTGTGGGACCCAGGGTGACTGTGGGTGGTGTCTTAGACCGTGCTCCGGAGGGAGCAGGGTGGTGGTGGGTCAGCCTGCCCCAGTGCCCAGGCCTCCCTCACACCGCTGTCCCGCAGACCCAGCTCATCCAGATGGTGGTGTGGATGCTGCAGCACAGGCTCCTGGTCCAGCTGCACACCTACGTCTGCCTGATGGCCTCCCCCAGCCAGGACGAGCCCCGCCTGCGCGAAGACGAGGTCCCCTTCACTACCAGGGTCAGCGGCCGCAGCCTCAGCACACCCAATGCCCTCAGCTTTGGCTCCCCAAGTAGGAATCCCTTCCCAGGGCATCAATCTTGTGGTGGGGGAAGGGGAGGGTCAGGCCCCTGAGGACCACTTGGGAGTGGTGGCCAAGAGATCCAACAAGGGCGCTGCTCAGAATGGGCCCCGTGCACACACTGCCTCTCCTGCGGGCGGCTCAGCAGCCTCCTAAAGGACAGGAGGTCCGTCCCCGCTTCCTGCTCCCTGTGGCTCTGAGGAGGCTGGATCTTTGGGATATTGAGCAGCGGCTTGCTCAAGGCAGGAGTAGCCTGCCCCGGCCTGCCCTGTCATCCATCACTGGGGGGACAATGGAAACCTCTGCCCCAGGGCCTGTGAGGAGACAGTGACTGCCCTGTCCCTTCTTAAGAGCCGTGTGGCCATGGCGTCCCCCCAAAGGCAGCAGTCCCCGGGCGTGGGGAAGAGGGGCTGGAAGGCTTTGCGGGCGGTGCCTCCCCAGGCTGAGGCTTGGCCTCCGGCTTCAGGTTCAGGGCGAGGACCTGTCCAGCCCCTCATGCATGTCGGGTGGGAGGGATGTGCTTGGGGGCGGACGGCTCTCTGACCCGTGCCCACCCACAGCCAGCAGTGACGACATGACGCTCACCAGCCCCAGCATGGACAACTCCAGCGCAGAGCTGCTCCCCAGTGGAGACTCCCCGCTGAACAAGAGGATGACCGAGAACCTGCTGGCCAGCCTGTCGGAGCACGAGCGGGCAGCCATCCTCAGTGTGCCCGCCGCCCAGAACCCCGAGGACCTCCGCATGTTTGCCAGGTGGGAGCTGGGACAGGGGGGGCCCGGTCCTCGTCTGGGGAGGGTCAGGACAGGAAGTGGATGGGGCTGTACCCAGCAGCCCACAACTTAAATCCATTGAGGACAAACAGCACTCGCTGGGTGAGTGGGTGTCCCTGCCTGCTACCTGTGCATGCCAGGCGAGAGTCCAGTCTGTTGCTGAGACAACGGTCTGTACCTCTGTCTTCAGGAGTCTCTCCAGGACTTCCTGGGTGTTAGTCACTTCCTAGGAAGCAGCAGCAAGTTCTCATCCTCATGCATATTGGGTGGGAGGGATGGCAGTGATTTTTCCCAGGACTTAGCCGGGGGAGGAGGATCCAGATCCCCACATTATAGGTGACACAGAGTTGGTCACACCCACCCAGTTTGGGGCACCCTAGATGCATGGTTTTCTGGGGGAGGTCAGACTGTCAGGGGCTGAGCCCCCAGCTAAGAACCACATGCCAGGCAGCTCTTTCAAGCAGCTGGTCCAGCCTCTGTTCAGTCCCAGGCTGACACCTCCCCAAGAGCAGTGACCCCATTTGGATCCAGAGCCACATGGGACTCGCTGCCAAGTAGAATGAAAAAGATGAGCCTCCACAGATCTGTCCCCCTGCACTGCCCACCCATGTCAGAATGCCGAGGGTGGCTGTGACCTCGGGCTCAGCGGGCTCTGGGGTTTGAACAGTAATGTGTTCTCACAGACCCACTTCAGAGAACTACGGTGGGCAACAGCCCAGGACACCTGCCTGCTCCTGTTGGGGGGTTGGGGTGGGCATGGGCAGCTGCCTCCGGGGCCTCTGAGACGCCCTCACCAGCTGTTTCGGCCTGTGGGCCCTCAGTGGCTGCTGGGACAGAGGCCAGCCTGGGCTTGTGCACCCTCCCTCCAGGCTGCTGCAGTACTTCCGTGGCCGCCACCACCTGGAGGAGATCATGTACAACGAGAACACAAGGCGCTCGCAGCTGCTCATGCTCTTCGACAAGTTCCGCAGCGTGCTGGTGGTGACCACCCACGAGGACCCAGTCATCGCCGTCTTCCAGGCCCTGCTGACGTGAGCCTGGGCCGGGGACGCAGAGACAGGCTGCTGCAGCGCATGGGGCACCGGCACCTCCCACCCCGGGGCTCCCTCCTGACTTCAGCCTGGGTCAGCTGCCTCATGGGGCTGCTGCCCTCTGCATTCTCACTGGTCTAGTCCTCCAAACTGATCCGGTGTCTGAGCCGAGAAGGTGAGGCTCTGAGCTGGGGGAGCCTGCGTGAGGCTGCATGCTTCCCACACAGATTTGGGCCTGTGTTCCCGGCCCCTTCCACTGCTGTCCTTCAAGACTGAGGGCTCAGGGCCTGGTCTGGCGGCCCTGCACTGCCCCATTCCTCCCAGCTTGTGGGCCTTCCATGGTCATCTCCACCCTGGCCCTCACCGCAGCTGCCAGGAGGCTCAGGCCTTAGCCATCTGCTCCCCTTTGCCACCTGAGGCAGAGGGCCTGGGCTCGTCCAGGGTGCTTTCCCGGCTCCCCGTGGGGTGGCTCTGCACTGGTGTTCCCAGTCCTCCCTCACAAGGTGGGGCGCCGTGGGCCCTCATCGGCCTGAGGAGGGCAGTGCCCACGCTGGGCCTGGCTCTAGGTGCCCTGCTGCACACGCAGCCCCACCTCCACGTCCTGGAGGAGGGACGGATCACTGAGGGGCTCTGGCTGACACACAGTGACACGTTTTCTAGAAAGAAAGCATTTATTTGTTTGTAAACAATTAAAAAGCCTGCCCTTAGCAGGCCCTTGCTTAGACCTGTGTGTTCTGCTCAGCTCCTCTGTCCACCACGCTGACCCAGGGGCTGCCCTGGATATAGAAGCGCAGGGGCTTCTGGGTCCACTCTCCCGCGCTGCCGATGCCCACTCGGGCTGCCGCCACCACAGCTGGCTCCCGGGGCCCCGGGGGGCGGGGCTCTAGCCACACAGCCTCGTCCGTGGTCAGGTCTCGTTGGTCGAAGCTCTTGTCGATGGCCAGGGCCTGACAGAGCTTGGAGGGGCCGCTGCAGAGCTCCCGGTCTTTGAGGGCGCGGCCGGCACTGCCTTTCCGGGAGGAAGTGCGGAGCTGCCGCATGGTCTCCAGGCCCCCCAGGGGCTCCAGTGCCCGCAGCAAGACACATGCTCCATCCCCTGTGGGACAGACAGACAGACAGTGATTGGCCCTCCCTCCCCAGGGCACTGCCAGTGCTGCAGGGATGAGGCAGCTGTCTTCCCGAGCTCCCCTGTACCCATTCACACCACCCCCACTTCCCACACACCTGCACCACGAGGCCCCGGGCGGGCCTCCATGCAGCCAGAGGGCCCGGCCACCAGCTCGGGAGAACCAGGGAAAAGGCATCCTCTGGTTTGGTGACAGCTGCAGCTTTGAGGTTGGCAAAGGAAACCCCAAATGGTCGGTCCTCCCTGAGCCCGGTCATCTCTACCCAGGCCTAGGGTTCCCCCATCTGCCTATACCCACTGTGTCCATTGGGCAGCCAGAAGGTTGGCTCAGAGCAGCTAGCAGTGTGCATAGGATGCCAGGTGGGCCTCACCCCATGACTCGGTGGGGAGACAAACAGGGCAGAAGGACGTGCCTGCCGACAGCACCCCCCCTTTGGGATCCTTCCTGACCCACCAGTCCAGAATACTCCAGCAAATTGACACCCTGGGCCCAATAAGACACATTTGTCCAAACTCCCTTGGCCCTGCATGGCTGGGGCAGTGATGACCTGGACCCTGGCCAGAGAACCCCAATCCCAGCCAGGCCACTCTCCTGACACCAGCTCTGCTCGCTCACGTTGGCCTGCCCTTCTACCTGGGGGTCTGAGAGGCTCAGCCTGAGGGGCGGCCAGGCCAGGCCCCACTCTTGGGCCTCACAGCACCTGGGAGAACCCGGAGTGAATGCAGCAGCTACACTCCCTGCACAGCCAGCAGCGGGCAGGTGGGGTTTTTGTGACCAGATGCTTTTAACCGGTCAGCTTTCAAAGAACCGCAAGATATACTGAGGGCAGCCTGGCCGGCAGGGCTCTGGTTGAGCACTGACTTATGAACCAGGAGGTCACAGTTTGATTCCTGGTCAGTATGGGGCGTGCAGGAGGCAGCCGATCCACGATTCTCTCTCATCATTGATGTTTCTATCTTTCCTTCCTCTCTGAAATTAGTAAAAATATATTTAAAAAAGAAAAGAAGATATACTAAGGGCAGACCCAGCCAGTTTGGCTCAGTGGAGAGAGCGCTGGCCTGCAGACAGATTCTGGCCAAGGGCACGCTCCTTGGTTGCAGGCTCGATCCCTGGCCCTGGAGGGGGCTCATGCGGGAGTCAGCCAGTTAATGTGTCTCTCACATCGATGCTTCCCTTTCTCCGTCCTCTCTTCCACTCACTAAAAATCAATGGAAAATCTGATCCTCAGGGGAGGATGAACAAAAACAAACAAAAATAAAGATATACTAAGGGTAAGCAAAGACTTGAAGTTCCAGTCCCTCTAATTGCTGGGCCCATCCCACCAGCCTCGACTCCCTCTGTGTCCATGCCGAGCTGCTGTAGGTGTAGCATGTCCCTCACTCTGTCACCTCCTGCTTTATCCCATACCCCTTCTCCAGCTGACAAAATCAGAACACCAAACTTTCTTCCCACCGAGGCTCCAGTCTCATCTCTACTCCGCCTGCACCCACTTGGCCCCTTTCCCTCGATGCACCTGGACAGCCGTTGCCCTGACTTGGTACCCATGTGGTTTGCTGCTCTCCTGAACCAGGTGCGCCTGGGGCATGTTGGTCATGTGTCCAGAAAGTAATGATGCCACCTCCCACATCTGCCCTGCCCACCCTCAGAAGCCCTGGCTCCTCCCTCCCTTGCTGACCACAGCCCCAGACACCTCTGGCCTCAGTCTTTCTCCTTATCCGAGTTCAGCCCCACCTCACAGGACGACCAAAATAAGCTCCAGAGTGAGAACAGGCCCTGGGGTGCTCCCGCCATCCTGATGTCCAGCCACTCACTTTCCCTCAACACCCTTCTGTGCCAGGCACGGGCCAGTTGGTTACCCAGCCCTCATGCCCTTGATCACCCCCAGCTGCCCTCTAGGCAGTCACAGCTCCCACGCCCCTGGAGTCATTCAACAAGTGTGTCTGACTGACAGCACACCAAACCCATCCCCCCAGCCTCCTCAGCATCCGTTCATCTTGGGACCAGCAGGAGGCTTGGCAGACAGACAGACACGGGGACTGGGAGCCAGCGTGGGCGGGGCAGACCCTGCTCCTGTCAGCAGTGGCTCTGATGAGATGGTGCTGTGGGCTCTTTTGAGCACAGTCCACCCCGAGAGCATGGCCACCTGCTCACCAAGTGCAGAAAGGCCACCCGGACAGGACCCACGAGCTGTGTGAGAGCTCTGGTCCAGCATCTTCCCCGATGGTACTACTGACATTGAGGCGAATGGCTTTTGTGATGGGGGGTCTCCTATGCATTGTGAGCTGGTCAGCACCAACCCACCAGCCATGATGACCAAAAATGCCTCCAGACAACGCCTAATGCCCCTCCAGGTGGCAGAATCATCTCTGGCTGAGAACCGATTCAGACCCCATAACTGGCAGCCTGGCAAGGCTCCTGCCAGAGCCCTACTCAACTCAAATGGATTTCACCCTCCTTTTCCCACAACCAGCCCCTGAGTCTACCCTGGCCTGTTGGTAACACCAGGTCTGAGCTCTGGAGCCAGCGGTGCCTCATGGAACCTGTGTGCTATGTGTTCCAGTCAACCCATGACCTCTATCTCATGGAGGTCCCGGTCCCTCTGACCACCCTGTGACTACGGCCAGAGCTCCTGAACCCTGACCTAGCCCAGCAACGGCACCTGCTCACTCAAACCCCTGCCCCACCCTGGTCTTCCCAAGGGTCTGCCAGCCGAGGGGGCTGAGTCCAGGCCGCCTGCTCCCGCCCCCAGCGCTGCTCACCTTGGCTGGAGACATTCATGCAGAAGTACATGCCATAGATGAAGTACACATACAGGGTCCCCGGCTTCATGAACATGCCACGGTTGCGGGGGGTCTGCCGGCCACCCCTCGAATGAGCAGCTTCATCCTCTGGCCCCAAATATGCCTCAGTCTCAACAATGCGGCCACGGAGCTCTGTGCCGTCGTCGAGTCGCCGGACCAAGACCTGTGGGCACCAGTGTCAGCTCAGGACACGAAGGGTGGTTCCCTCCACCTGACAGGCCACAGCCTGGACCGCACCTCCCTGCTCTGGGCACACCAGGCCAGCCAGGGCAGACCTAGCCGGTTTGGCTCAGTGTCCCCCCAGTGTCCCTCTAGACCACAGACCTTGTTCACTGAGTGTCTTGTCCATCTGTGTCTCTAGACCACAGACCTTATTCACTGAGTGGGTTGCAGCCATTTCAAGCTCTGGCCTTTGCTGGGCTGCAAACCAGCGCTAGTGAATTCATCCACTCCTTGTCCTCTCAGGCCCTCCATCACACCATCTCCTCCCCTTTCAGGGTCCCCCTGAACTTATATGCTTAGGCTGGAGCAGGGCAGCATGGAGGACACCCCATGGCTGCCTGTGGGCTAAACACAAAGCACTGCCACCAGCTGAAAGGCCTTTCTGAGCAGCAGGACTGACTGCCCACCGTGCTCCTGGCCGGACCTTGGCCCGGGTGCAGCCAGCTCCACAGGGCATGGGGTCAGTGTGGGCAGTGGGCCAGGAAGATGAACCTGGCTGCAGTTGGCTTGGACAGTACCCTGGGCAGGGGTGGGGCAGGAGGGGCCAGAGGGGCCAGCCGAGCACAGGGGCAGTTGCCAGGGAATGTCACGGGAGGGGGAGGTGAAGGGGGCAGCGGGTGCCCTCAGGCCAGCAGAGCACCCAGGAGGGCCGCCCAGGGGAGCCAGGCCAGCGGAGTGCTGAGCATGCGGGGTCAGTGCTCCCCAGCCGGAGCCTTTCTGCCCTCTGGAGGGACTGCCTCTGGGCGGCACAGCAGTGTGGCCCGGGCCAGAGCTCCAGGCCTGACGCAACCACGGTTCACAGTGGGCCTTTGGGGGCAGCCACCTCCCCAGGGGTGTGCCCAGCCCCTGCCCTGTCCTTAGGGCAGAGCAATCAGCTGGACAGCCGAGCTGCCCCTGCTTTAGCCCAGGAGCCCAGTGTGTCTGCGGCCAGGGTCCGTGTCATGGGACAGGGAGGCGAGTGCTGGGCTGGACGCTGGGGCAGTGCTGGGGGAGGCCTTCCTCAGACCGAAGGGAGGGAAGAAGGGGGTTGATGCCCCGGGAGCCCATCTCCAGGCACGAAGAGGGAGGCCCATTCCATCTCAGATGAGGCCTCGCCTCCATCCTTCCAGGGGGTCAAGGTGGCTCCTCCGTGCGCCTCGCTCTCCTGTTCCCACACCTCCAGAGGCCAACGGGTGCCTGCCCTTCCGAGGGCAGCTTCTCACGGCTCTTTTCTCACTGCTGTTTTTCAACTGGAATTTTCCGCTCTGAATTTCATTCTGGTGAAATTTCCTGATGGCAGATGTTGGTTGCCTCCCGGGCCCATTACAAACACATCTCCTTGCTGGTGGAGGGTCCTGGGGGAGGCAACACCTTCTCAGACAAGAGGGCGACTGGAGAGCGGTCGGGGTGTCATGGCTCCTGGCCATGACCTGCGGAGGGATGCCCGAGCCTGGCCTGGTGGTCTGCAGGGACACCCCTGGGCTGTGAGAGGCTGTCCTCCCTGACCACAGGACACGGCGAGCCCCCTGCCGGAGCCCGCCCTCTGCCCTCGGGCGTGATGGCCGAATCGGACCCGCTGAGGCGAGGCCGGCCCC